TAGTTGCATATCAGCTCTGTATTTGGCAGTAGAGGCAAGAATGCTCGAGCAGATTAAACAGTACCTTCAGCCCATGCAATTTTGTGAGCTGCTATTACAAACTCAGGCGCTTCCCCTTATTAGACTTCTTATTAGACTTTTTGACAGCGATCACACTTTAGATAGATTACTCCTTTTTTTGCTAAAGGGATAAAAAAAATAAGATAATAATAATAAAAAATAAAAAAATAAAAAAGCAGAGCTGATACTACGTGAATGCTTGCCATGCTGCCATGGGCTTGCATCACATACAGGCAGTATGCTTGCTGGGTCTTAGCCCAGACTCTGAGCCTCATCTTGTTCTTTCTGTCTGTGCTCAGGTACACGCTGAACGTCCTCGAGGACCTGGGTGACGGTCAGAAAGCCAACGATGACATTATAGTCAGCTGGGTAAACCAGACCCTGAAAGAAGCTGGCAAGTCCACCTCCATCCAGAACTTCAAGGTGCAGGTTCCCCTCTTGCATCCAAAAGGAGAGGGGTGCCCCAAAAGGATTTATTTGGCTGCAGCAGGACATGTTCAAGATGGGGTTTTACACAAGACAGGTTGCAGACTGTGCTGGGAACAAAGTGGCTTCAAGCTACCAAAGAGGAGACTTTCAGAACCCCCTAGTGGGGAACACTGGTGGAGCAAGAGAGTTGACGGGGTGTCAGAAGAGGGGAGGAGTATGGTTGGCCTGTGGGGCAGTGGTGGGGTCCAAGATACCAGCAAGCATTGAGGCTGGAGCTGCTGTTGTAGGTTGGCATTGTCCCCTGGGGTCAGATCAGTGGGGGTGGCTGTAAACACTTTGCATTTTCACACCACTTAGTACAAGATTAGGACTCCAATTTACTCTGTTACCAAAGGAGAAGCAGCACTTTGGTTTGTTTGTGCTCCAGCTGGAGTAATCACTCAGCGCTGCCTGGAAATAGCTTGTTTAAAGTTTGTTTTGTTGCACATTGCAGAGCAGCTGAATTGAGGTGAGAAGTAATCATAAGGATGAGACATTTGTGTTTACTTTTCTCTGCTTGTATTCTCTAGGACAAGACTATCAGTACAAGCTTGGCAGTGGTGGATTTAATTGATGCTATACAGCCTGGCTGCATCAACTATGACCTTGTAAAGACTGGTCATCTGTCAGAAGATGACAAACAGAATAATGCTAAGTAAGTTAACTATCTGAAAAGCCACATTGCATTGGGAGAGTACACCTACTATGCTGTGACTTGCAAGAGTTGCAAGTTGCAAGAGTTTTTACTGCTTTACTGCAGTTTTCAAACACTGAACCTTTTAGACTGGCATGACTGACAAACACAGCAATTCGATTTCAAGAAGCACTGCCTGAGTACTAGTTGGTTGGACTCTTGCCTGTTGAGAGGAACACAGAACAGCCCAAGCACTGATCCAGCAATGATCTCTGTTTCTCACCTGTTTGTTCAGGCTTATGAATGCTCAGCCAGTGGCTCAGGGGTTTGAGACTTGAACCCTAGTCTGTCTCTCATCTTGTTGAATCATCATAGGTTATCAAATTTGAAGTATGCCTGTGAAATTATGGCTTTGAACTGTGTGTTCTGCGACTATTCTGCAGTGGTAGAATGACAGGAAGTTTTCTTGCACATAATACTTGCTTGATTATTCCTAAAACGCAAGCAGAAGAGGGAATGTAAATGTTAGCTGATGAGTCCTTGATTATGAATTCTGGCTATTAGCCCTATCAAATACTAATTATACCTTTTAATAACGTGCTCCTCTTTCCATGGCAAATAGGTATGCTGTGTCCATGGCAAGAAGAATTGGTGCCCGAGTCTATGCTCTTCCAGAAGATCTTGTGGAGGTGAAACCGAAGATGGTCATGACCGTGTTTGCCTGCTTGATGGGCAGAGGAATGAAGCGAGTATAAAAGGGTTGATCCATGTAAAAATTAAACAACAAAACACAACAAAAACCCAACCTGCCACCCTGGGTGCATGAGTAGCAGACCAGCTGTGTCCACGCTGAAATGCTGTTGGCCTAGGAACTGTTGAAGTTCAAAGGACGTTGTTTTGCTTTGCGAGACAAACTCGTACCAAAATTCTCAGGGAGAGGAGTTTTAACCAACAGATGTGCTCTTTTCCCAAATGAAAGTTTGATTTATCAAGAGCTCACAGAAATGCATTCATAACAGACCAGCACCTTGAACGCTGCTCTGGAGCTGTTTTCACCACGTTATTTCTCTGATGCTTGGTGTTGTCCCCACCCCACCTCACCCCCGAGGGCTCTTGAGGTGGTCAGTATGAGTTGTAATGGGAATGGATCTTATTTCTTTCTGCAATCCAGCTTAATTGCTGTCATTTGGTCCAAGTGCATTCTGGGTTTGACCACTTCCTTAACTTTGCAAACAAAGCTACCATACAAGTTGGGACCTACAGACCAGCTCGCAATGCTAAATGAGAAATGTGTTTTGGAAGATGGATCTTCTGGTATTCTCTGTACATGGTGCTTCTTTTTATACATCTAACTATTTTGATTACTTTACAAATAAAGCATAGCAGTTTTTTCTCTTGCTGCTTATAAAAAAAAGAAAGGGGGGTTGTTTGTATTTTTATGTTAGACTATATATGAGAATACCACCATCCTTGGACTGCACACAGTAACGTGATACCATGTTGCTGATGGCACAGTTGCACCTGAGAATGGAAGTGAATGCATTTTTGTATGCATCTTGGTTCAGTTGTGTGTACTTAGAACATAATTTTTACAAAAATCTGCATGAAAAATATAACTTTTTTTTATTTAAAATGTTGTTGGATATAAAACCATACTACATTGTGGGGAGGTTTTGTGCAGGGAAGAGGCAAATGTCATGAACAGCAGGGTTCAATAAACTGAACAGCAAATGCGCTGGAATATAAAATTATTTTTACAGAAAAAATGAAGTGTTGTCGCCAAAGAAGGAAGATTCTGTATCCATAGGAGTTAATATTATCTTGCTTTGGCAAGCTGTTTGCTAGATTTTGAGATCATATTGCTATTCTGAGCTATTCAAAATGATGTAATATGGTGGCAAAGCATTAGTTGAAATAAAAAAAAGACATTTAAATCCAGGGTTCTCTCCTTATTTACACTGTCCCAGCATCGAAGCCTGTTGTCAGATATTTTTAGCAGTGCTTTGGTTGCTTTCTGTATGTTGCAGCAGGTCCCACTGGTCTGTAAGATCCCTAGAATTAGGGTGTACTTGAGGGGGTGAGGAGGAGGGTTGTGGTTTTTTTTTCCTTTTTCAGTTGTGAGTGATTTTTAATTGGCAGTGTTTTTGTGAGGCGTTATCTTTATGATAGCTTCTCTAAAACATTACTCTCGAACTTGTGACTTACTGCGTGGCTGAAGATAATGGCCGAAGGTGTAGGGGAAAAGCCCCATTACGGCAAACCCTAGGAAAAGTAGGAGAAAAGGTTGTACCCATTCAGGCTCATGACCAGAGAGCCCAGGTCAGTGAAGGGGGGAGGGTGCGATAGTGGCAGCTGACACAAATCAGAACAGCAGAGAGATTGAAGAGAAGACAGCAAGAAGCAAAGGGGAGGTTTTCCTGCAACTTCCCAAAGTGCTTGAAGCTGAGGAAAATGAGGATTGTACTGAAACCCCTGAACTGAAGCGGAAACATTGCATACAAAAGGTAAATAAAAAATGTATTGACTGTTTAATACTTGGCATGAATCTAATCACAAATCTGATAAGCAGGAAGATGCAGCATGTGTTGTTTTGTGTTGCTTTGTTGTGCAGCAGCCCTGGTTTGTCCGTTCACTGGTACCGCAGTAATAGCAAAATTTGGACTTACCATGCTCATGTGAGGTTGCTGTTGTCAAAATGTCCTCTTTTACCAAGCTAATGAGAGGTAAGAGAAAAAGTAAACCTTTTATTGTTGAAAACACATAAAATTCCTCTAAAGTCAGGGACAGATGCGGTATGTCTGTCACACCTCCTATTACCTCCTCTTATGAGCAGTTAGTAAACATGTTTTTGTGTTTTTCTTTAAGAAAAAAATAATTTGGTAGGGACAGTGACCATTTAATACTTGGCACAAATTGATCATGAATCTGATGCAGAAGCAGATAAAAGATGTTATTTCATTGTGCAGCCCCAGTGTGTCCATTGGCTGTTGCTGATGTAACAGCAAAGGCTGGACTTCCTCTGCACTCTACAAGAGCTTTCTCTTGACAAAAAGTGCATTTTTGTGCATTTTCAGCAAGACGACAGTGTTTTGCACCACCACCACCACTTCCCAGTGGGGCTTTAGCCCACCTTCACCAACGTAAGCTCACTATGTCCACTTACGCTTGTGTGGAGTTGCCTGCAGTTCCAACTGAAGATAAAATATATCACTGCTATGCTTCTGCGCTGTCAGCCGACAACTTCCATCACACCACAATGATAACAGTGCAGCAAAATTAGAAAGGAACTCTGGAGAACACCAACATTCATACCATGTGATAGCCACACTAGTACTACCTTCCCCTACTACCCAATGGGAAACACCACACTGAAATGCCATTGCCTCTGAGCATCACATCTTCACACCAACTGAACAATATCCCCTAACTGCAGCTGTAAATCCTTCACTTACACAGTATGACTACCACACTACTGAAGCAAAGTGGACAAAGACATGACAGTGATGTCATAAACTATCTTCTAATCATATTTTTGGTATTAAGTAACACAGCTGTGGGTGAAAGAAACACTGAAAAAAATAGGACAGTAGTGTTTTTCATGATGCAGATTTTACAGTAGAAGATGGTTATGAGTCTATAAAATGTGGTATTACAGCAGCAAAGTTGGTAATTACTATCTAAACTGTTCTAAGTGCTTTTTTTTTTTTTGGCGGAGGGAAAAAGGGATGTTTGCATGGATGCAAGATGATCATTAAGTGTCAAAAATTCCCAATCAAAAACTTAAAACTGTTTTGACAGTACTTCAAATTATACAGTTTTAAACAACAAAAACCCAATATTGGCTTTCTTAAATCTACTTTATTTTACCATATTGCATTAATTACAAATGACTGACAAATGATATCCATTTCAGACAAACACTTCTTCATCACCTCTTCCTTATATTTCCACATCATGCCTCTCCCTCTTCTCTTCTTCGTCGCTCTTGCCTCGCAGTGCAGGTCCACACGACGCCTCCCTCTTCTTTCTTCCCCACCGGCTGCTGCTGCAAAGGAAGGACGAGACGCTTAGACCAACTCCTGAGCACCAACTCCTGTGCCTGGCGGATATGGGGAGCCCCGTCCCCGGAGAGAGCTCCCCACAGCACTGCCTGGCCCCTGGCTCAGCCCTGCCACCCTCCAGACCAGACACCCAGACAGCCCCTGACAAAAACAGCGGAAATGAGCTTTTCTCACCTGAGGGACGCGCAGCAGAGCTCCAGCCGGTGCTGGAGCTGGGCTCGGAGGCGGGCACCCTGGGCAAACGGAGCTGGGCAGGCAAAGCAGCGGCCAGACAGGCTGCACCCCTGCTTACAGGGGGCTCGAGCCGCTGCCTGGACCGCAAAGTGCCCGGGACGCCAGGGCACTGGCTGGCCCCCGAGTTACGGGGCAGCCCTGGTCCCAAAGGCAAACGGAGGCTCCTTCTCTCCGATTCCGGGGCACCCTGACCGCGAACCCGCTAACGGGACGGTCACCCCACACCGGCTGCCAGCGGAGCACAAAGGCTCCCAGACCCGCACCCCTGATTACAGGCAGGTCGACACCCAGGGAGCCCCAGAGCTCGGCCTTCCCCCACACCAGCAGGAACGACTTCTCAGCAGCCAGGCGGTGGAGCGGCACGGCCAAAGGCCGGGGGCCGGGACCCCAGCCCCGAGTACGGGGAGGGCACGCCCGGCCCCTCCACACAACTCGGCCCCGCGCCTCTGAAAGGCCGGGGCCACAGGTGCCCGCCCCCCTGATTACAGCGGGGGCCCTACAGGCGCCTCCTGTCCAGGGCAGGGGACACGCACAGCCCTGCCTACAGGGCGGTCCCCCCACGCCTCACCGCCTTCCAAGAAAGCCCCATGGAGCACGAGGCTCCGGCCTAGGCCCGACGGACGGGCTGGCCCTCCTGGCTGCAGCACAACACCACGTCTTCAGGAGCCCAGGGAGACACCTCCGCGCCAACTGCGCGCACGTCACCCCAACCAAAAGCAACGCCAAAGGCGATGGGACTATGCCCGCCTTCCGGCACAACACTTCCTCAGCCGGCCCCCTCCGATGGGGCGATGCTGGGGTTGTTCCTGCTGGCTGGCTAAAGCAGCCGGCTGCGGCACTGCCGCCACCTCCGCCCTGCTTACAGGGGGAGCTCGGGCTGCTCCTGGGGACAGAGGGCTCCAGGGCTCGTGACACACACCCCGACTACGGGGCGTCACGCTGGCAGGGCGCCAGAAGGACAGGCGCAGACCCAGGCCCTGGCTACAGGCTGGTCTGCTACCAAGGAAGTGGCTTGGCCCTGTCCTAGGAAATAAGGGGCGAGTCCAGACTCAACCCTCGGCTCGGGGCCTGAAAGGGGACCCCCCTGCATCTGCACAGAGCCCTGCGTTCCCTTCTGGGAAGCCAAAGCTAAGCAAGCTGCAGCTTTTTTATTTTTATTTTTAACAGGGGCCTAGAGGACGGGCTCACTCACACACCCCGACAAGGACAGGGAGAGGGAGAAGAGGGAGAGGGCCAGGGCCAGGGGCAAACTTGGCTTTCCACAAGAGACAGGGAACTGCGTGCAGACACCATCCAGAGCGGGCCGGGGGGCAACCCCTACCCACGAGCAGGCCAGGAGAGCCTCAGACCCACCCCATCGGGGCTGCATGCCGTGACACACACCCCGCCTACGGGGCGTCACGCTGGCCGCAGGCAGAAAGCCGCCAGGGCCGCAGGAGTCGGGTGGGCAAAACGGCCCTCCCCTGCTTACAGGGTGGCCTTGGGGTCCAGAGAGCTCCAGTTCCCCCTCGGGTGCGGAGACAGTGGCGCTCACCCTCCTTACAGGGTTGACACTCTCTCCAGGCAGCCAAAGGAGCAGCGTGGCAAAAGGCCGACTAAAGCAAAAGACCTGAGCCCTGCTTACAGGGAGGTCGCCCAGCGCAAAGCCGGCCAGGACACCAAAGGTGCCGGCCATGCTCTTCTTACGTGTCTGCAGACCTCTCGACCGGGACGGCCTTTTGCCCAGAGTGCCTTTCTCTTTGCTCCTCTGCTCCTCTTCTTCGTCGCTCTTGCCTCGCAGTGCAGGTCCACACGACGCCTCCCTCTTCTCCTCTTCTTCGTCGCTCTTGCCTCGCAGTGCAGGTCCACACGACGCCTCCCTCTTCTTTCTTCCCCACCGGCTGCTGCTGCAAAGGAAGGACGAGACGCTTAGACCAACTCCTGAGCACCAACTCCTGTGCCTGGCGGATATGGGGAGCCCCGTCCCCGGAGAGAGCTCCCCACAGCACTGCCTGGCCCCTGGCTCAGCCCTGCCACCCTCCAGACCAGACACCCAGACAGCCCCTGACAAAAACAGCGGAAATGAGCTTTTCTCACCTGAGGGACGTGCAGCAGAGCTCCAGCCGGTGCTGGAGCTGGGCTCGGAGGCGGGCACCCTGGGCAAACGGAGCTGGGCAGGCAAAGCAGCGGCCAGACAGGCTGCACCCCTGCTTACAGGGGGCTCGAGCCGCTGCCTGGACCGCAAAGTGCCCGGGACGCCAGGGCACTGGCTGGCCCCCGAGTTACGGGGCAGCCCTGGTCCCAAAGGCAAACGGAGGCTCCTTCTCTCCGATTCCGGGACACCCTGACCGCGAACCCGCTAACGGGACGGTCACCCCACACCGGCTGCCAGCGGAGCACAAAGGCTCCCAGACCCGCACCCCTGATTACAGGCAGGTCGACACCCAGGGAGCCCCAGAGCTCGGCCTTCCCCCACACCAGCAGGAACGACTTCTCAGCAGCCAGGCGGTGGAGCGGCACGGCCAAAGGCCGGGGGCCGGGACCCCAGCCCCGAGTACGGGGAGGGCACGCCCGGCCCCTCCACACAACTCGGCCCCGCGCCTCTGAAAGGCCGGGGCCACAGGTGCCCGCCCCCCTGATTACAGCGGGGGCCCTACAGGCGCCTCCTGTCCAGGGCAGGGGACACGCACAGCCCTGCCTACAGGGCGGTCCCCCCACGCCTCACCGCCTTCCAAGAAAGCCCCATGGAGCACGAGGCTCCGGCCTAGGCCCGACGGACGGGCTGGCCCTCCTGGCTGCAGCACAACACCACGTCTTCAGGAGCCCAGGGAGACACCTCCGCGCCAACTGCGCGCACGTCACCCCAACCAAAAGCAACGCCAAAGGCGATGGGACTATGCCCGCCTTCCGGCACAACACTTCCTCAGCCGGCCCCCTCCGATGGGGCGATGCTGGGGTTGTTCCTGCTGGCTGGCTAAAGCAGCCGGCTGCGGCACTGCCGCCACCTCCGCCCTGCTTACAGGGGGAGCTCGGGCTGCTCCTGGGGACAGAGGGCTCCAGGGCTCGTGACACACACCCCGACTACGGGGCGTCACGCTGGCAGGGCGCCAGAAGGACAGGCGCAGACCCAGGCCCTGGCTACAGGCTGGTCTGCTACCAAGGAAGTGGCTTGGCCCTGTCCTAGGAAATAAGGGGCGAGTCCAGACTCAACCCTCGGCTCGGGGCCTGAAAGGGGACCCCCCTGCATCTGCACAGAGCCCTGCGTTCCCTTCTGGGAAGCCAAAGCTAAGCAAGCTGCAGCTTTTTTATTTTTATTTTTAACAGGGGCCTAGAGGACGGGCTCACTCACACACCCCGACAAGGACAGGGAGAGGGAGAAGAGGGAGAGGGCCAGGGCCAGGGGCAAACTTGGCTTTCCACAAGAGACAGGGAACTGCGTGCAGACACCATCCAGAGCGGGCCGGGGGGCAACCCCTACCCACGAGCAGGCCAGGAGAGCCTCAGACCCACCCCATCGGGGCTGCATGCCGTGACACACACCCCGCCTACGGGGCGTCACGCTGGCCGCAGGCAGAAAGCCGCCAGGGCCGCAGGAGTCGGGTGGGCAAAACGGCCCTCCCCTGCTTACAGGGTGGCCTTGGGGTCCAGAGAGCTCCAGTTCCCCCTCGGGTGCGGAGACAGTGGCGCTCACCCTCCTTACAGGGTTGACACTCTCTCCAGGCAGCCAAAGGAGCAGCGTGGCAAAAGGCCGACTAAAGCAAAAGACCTGAGCCCTGCTTACAGGGAGGTCGCCCAGCGCAAAGCCGGCCAGGACACCAAAGGTGCCGGCCATGCTCTTCTTACGTGTCTGCAGACCTCTCGACCGGGACGGCCTTTTGCCCAGAGTGCCTTTCTCTTTGCTCCTCTGCTCCTCTTCTTCGTCAGTCTTGCCTCGCAGTGCAGGTCCACATGACGCCTCCCTCTTCTCCTCTTCTTCGTCGCTCTTGCCTCGCAGTGCAGGTCCACACGACGCCTCCCTCTTCTTTCTTCCCCACCGGCTGCTGCTGCAAAGGAAGGACGAGACGCTTAGACCAACTCCTGAGCACCAACTCCTGTGCCTGGCGGATATGGGGAGCCCCGTCCCCGGAGAGAGCTCCCCACAGCACTGCCTGGCCCCTGGCTCAGCCCTGCCACCCTCCAGACCAGACACCCAGACAGCCCCTGACAAAAACAGCGGAAATGAGCTTTTCTCACCTGAGGGACGCGCAGCAGAGCTCCAGCCGGTGCTGGAGCTGGGCTCGGAGGCGGGCACCCTGGGCAAACGGAGCTGGGCAGGCAAAGCAGCGGCCAGACAGGCTGCACCCCTGCTTACAGGGGGCTCGAGCCGCTGCCTGGACCGCAAAGTGCCCGGGACGCCAGGGCACTGGCTGGCCCCCGAGTTACGGGGCAGCCCTGGTCCCAAAGGCAAACGGAGGCTCCTTCTCTCCGATTCCGGGGCACCCTGACCGCGAACCCGCTAACGGGACGGTCACCCCACACCGGCTGCCAGCGGAGCACAAAGGCTCCCAGACCCGCACCCCTGATTACAGGCAGGTCGACACCCAGGGAGCCCCAGAGCTCGGCCTTCCCCCACACCAGCAGGAACGACTTCTCAGCAGCCAGGCGGTGGAGCGGCACGGCCAAAGGCCGGGGGCCGGGACCCCAGCCCCGAGTACGGGGAGGGCACGCCCGGCCCCTCCACACAACTCGGCCCCGCGCCTCTGAAAGGCCGGGGCCACAGGTGCCCGCCCCCCTGATTACAGCGGGGGCCCTACAGGCGCCTCCTGTCCAGGGCAGGGGACACGCACAGCCCTGCCTACAGGGCGGTCCCCCCACGCCTCACCGCCTTCCAAGAAAGCCCCATGGAGCACGAGGCTCCGGCCTAGGCCCGACGGACGGGCTGGCCCTCCTGGCTGCAGCACAACACCACGTCTTCAGGAGCCCAGGGAGACACCTCCGCGCCAACTGCGCGCACGTCACCCCAACCAAAAGCAACGCCAAAGGCGATGGGACTATGCCCGCCTTCCGGCACAACACTTCCTCAGCCGGCCCCCTCCGATGGGGCGATGCTGGGGTTGTTCCTGCTGGCTGGCTAAAGCAGCCGGCTGCGGCACTGCCGCCACCTCCGCCCTGCTTACAGGGGGAGCTCGGGCTGCTCCTGGGGACAGAGGGCTCCAGGGCTCGTGACACACACCCCGACTACGGGGCGTCACGCTGGCAGGGCGCCAGAAGGACAGGCGCAGACCCAGGCCCTGGCTACAGGCTGGTCTGCTACCAAGGAAGTGGCTTGGCCCTGTCCTAGGAAATAAGGGGCGAGTCCAGACTCAACCCTCGGCTCGGGGCCTGAAAGGGGACCCCCCTGCATCTGCACAGAGCCCTGCGTTCCCTTCTGGGAAGCCAAAGCTAAGCAAGCTGCAGCTTTTTTATTTTTATTTTTAACAGGGGCCTAGAGGACGGGCTCACTCACACACCCCGACAAGGACAGGGAGAGGGAGAAGAGGGAGAGGGCCAGGGCCAGGGGCAAACTTGGCTTTCCACAAGAGACAGGGAACTGCGTGCAGACACCATCCAGAGCGGGCCGGGGGGCAACCCCTACCCACGAGCAGGCCAGGAGAGCCTCAGACCCACCCCATCGGGGCTGCATGCCGTGACACACACCCCGCCTACGGGGCGTCACGCTGGCCGCAGGCAGAAAGCCGCCAGGGCCGCAGGAGTCGGGTGGGCAAAACGGCCCTCCCCTGCTTACAGGGTGGCCTTGGGGTCCAGAGAGCTCCAGTTCCCCCTCGGGTGCGGAGACAGTGGCGCTCACCCTCCTTACAGGGTTGACACTCTCTCCAGGCAGCCAAAGGAGCAGCGTGGCAAAAGGCCGACTAAAGCAAAAGACCTGAGCCCTGCTTACAGGGAGGTCGCCCAGCGCAAAGCCGGCCAGGACACCAAAGGTGCCGGCCATGCTCTTCTTACGTGTCTGCAGACCTCTCGACCGGGACGGCCTTTTGCCCAGAGTGCCTTTCTCTTTGCTCCTCTGCTCCTCTTCTTCGTCAGTCTTGCCTCGCAGTGCAGGTCCACATGACGCCTCCCTCTTCTCCTCTTCTTCGTCGCTCTTGCCTCGCAGTGCAGGTCCACACGACGCCTCCCTCTTCTTTCTTCCCCACCGGCTGCTGCTGCAAAGGAAGGACGAGACGCTTAGACCAACTCCTGAGCACCAACTCCTGTGCCTGGCGGATATGGGGAGCCCCGTCCCCGGAGAGAGCTCCCCACAGCACTGCCTGGCCCCTGGCTCAGCCCTGCCACCCTCCAGACCAGACACCCAGACAGCCCCTGACAAAAACAGCGGAAATGAGCTTTTCTCACCTGAGGGACGCGCAGCAGAGCTCCAGCCGGTGCTGGAGCTGGGCTCGGAGGCGGGCACCCTGGGCAAACGGAGCTGGGCAGGCAAAGCAGCGGCCAGACAGGCTGCACCCCTGCTTACAGGGGGCTCGAGCCGCTGCCTGGACCGCAAAGTGCCCGGGACGCCAGGGCACTGGCTGGCCCCCGAGTTACGGGGCAGCCCTGGTCCCAAAGGCAAACGGAGGCTCCTTCTCTCCGATTCCGGGGCACCCTGACCGCGAACCCGCTAACGGGACGGTCACCCCACACCGGCTGCCAGCGGAGCACAAAGGCTCCCAGACCCGCACCCCTGATTACAGGCAGGTCGACACCCAGGGAGCCCCAGAGCTCGGCCTTCCCCCACACCAGCAGGAACGACTTCTCAGCAGCCAGGCGGTGGAGCGGCACGGCCAAAGGCCGGGGGCCGGGACCCCAGCCCCGAGTACGGGGAGGGCACGCCCGGCCCCTCCACACAACTCGGCCCGCGCCTCTGAAAGGCCGGGGCCACAGGTGCCCGCCCCCCTGATTACAGCGGGGGCCCTACAGGCGCCTCCTGTCCAGGGCAGGGGACACGCACAGCCCTGCCTACAGGGCGGTCCCCCCACGCCTCACCGCCTTCCAAGAAAGCCCCATGGAGCACGAGGCTCCGGCCTAGGCCCGACGGACGGGCTGGCCCTCCTGGCTGCAGCACAACACCACGTCTTCAGGAGCCCAGGGAGACACCTCCGCGCCAACTGCGCGCACGTCACCCCAACCAAAAGCAACGCCAAAGGCGATGGGACTATGCCCGCCTTCCGGCACAACACTTCCTCAGCCGGCCCCCTCCGATGGGGCGATGCTGGGGTTGTTCCTGCTGGCTGGCTAAAGCAGCCGGCTGCGGCACTGCCGCCACCTCCGCCCTGCTTACAGGGGGAGCTCGGGCTGCTCCTGGGGACAGAGGGCTCCAGGGCTCGTGACACACACCCCGACTACGGGGCGTCACGCTGGCAGGGCGCCAGAAGGACAGGCGCAGACCCAGGCCCTGGCTACAGGCTGGTCTGCTACCAAGGAAGTGGCTTGGCCCTGTCCTAGGAAATAAGGGGCGAGTCCAGACTCAACCCTCGGCTCGGGGCCTGAAAGGGGACCCCCCTGCATCTGCACAGAGCCCTGCGTTCCCTTCTGGGAAGCCAAAGCTAAGCAAGCTGCAGCTTTTTTATTTTTATTTTTAACAGGGGCCTAGAGGACGGGCTCACTCACACACCCCGACAAGGACAGGGAGAGGGAGAAGAGGGAGAGGGCCAGGGCCAGGGGCAAACTTGGCTTTCCACAAGAGACAGGGAACTGCGTGCAGACACCATCCAGAGCGGGCCGGGGGGCAACCCCTACCCACGAGCAGGCCAGGAGAGCCTCAGACCCACCCCATCGGGGCTGCATGCCGTGACACACACCCCGCCTACGGGGCGTCACGCTGGCCGCAGGCAGAAAGCCGCCAGGGCCGCAGGAGTCGGGTGGGCAAAACGGCCCTCCCCTGCTTACAGGGTGGCCTTGGGGTCCAGAGAGCTCCAGTTCCCCCTCGGGTGCGGAGACAGTGGCGCTCACCCTCCTTACAGGGTTGACACTCTCTCCAGGCAGCCAAAGGAGCAGCGTGGCAAAAGGCCGACTAAAGCAAAAGACCTGAGCCCTGCTTACAGGGAGGTCGCCCAGCGCAAAGCCGGCCAGGACACCAAAGGTGCCGGCCATGCTCTTCTTACGTGTCTGCAGACCTCTCGACCGGGACGGCCTTTTGCCCAGAGTGCCTTTCTCTTTGCTCCTCTGCTCCTCTTCTTCGTCAGTCTTGCCTCGCAGTGCAGGTCCACACGACGCCTCCCTCTTCTCCTCTTCTTCGTCGCTCTTGCCTCGCAGTGCAGGTCCACACGACGCCTCCCTCTTCTTTCTTCCCCACCGGCTGCTGCTGCAAAGGAAGGACGAGACGCTTAGACCAACTCCTGAGCACCAACTCCTGTGCCTGGCGGATATGGGGAGCCCCGTCCCCGGAGAGAGCTCCCCACAGCACTGCCTGGCCCCTGGCTCAGCCCTGCCACCCTCCAGACCAGACACCCAGACAGCCCCTGACAAAAACAGCGGAAATGAGCTTTTCTCACCTGAGGGACGCGCAGCAGAGCTCCAGCCGGTGCTGGAGCTGGGCTCGGAGGCGGGCACCCTGGGCAAACGGAGCTGGGCAGGCAAAGCAGCGGCCAGACAGGCTGCACCCCTGCTTACAGGGGGCTCGAGCCGCTGCCTGGACCGCAAAGTGCCCGGGACGCCAGGGCACTGGCTGGCCCCCGAGTTACGGGGCAGCCCTGGTCCCAAAGGCAAACGGAGGCTCCTTCTCTCCGATTCCGGGGCACCCTGACCGCGAACCCGCTAACGGGACGGTCACCCCACACCGGCTGCCAGCGGAGCACAAAGGCTCCCAGACCCGCACCCCTGATTACAGGCAGGTCGACACCCAGGGAGCCCCAGAGCTCGGCCTTCCCCCACACCAGCAGGAACGACTTCTCAGCAGCCAGGCGGTGGAGCGGCACGGCCAAAGGCCGGGGGCCGGGACCCCAGCCCCGAGTACGGGGAGGGCACGCCCGGCCCCTCCACACAACTCGGCCCCGCGCCTCTGAAAGGCCGGGGCCACAGGTGCCCGCCCCCCTGATTACAGCGGGGGCCCTACAGGCGCCTCCTGTCCAGGGCAGGGGACACGCACAGCCCTGCCTACAGGGCGGTCCCCCCACGCCTCACCGCCTTCCAAGAAAGCCCCATGGAGCACGAGGCTCCGGCCTAGGCCCGACGGACGGGCTGGCCCTCCTGGCTGCAGCACAACACCACGTCTTCAGGAGCCCAGGGAGACACCTCCGCGCCAACTGCGCGCACGTCACCCCAACCAAAAGCAACGCCAAAGGCGATGGGACTATGCCCGCCTTCCGGCACAACACTTCCTCAGCCGGCCCCCTCCGATGGGGCGATGCTGGGGTTGTTCCTGCTGGCTGGCTAAAGCAGCCGGCTGCGGCACTGCCGCCACCTCCGCCCTGCTTACAGGGGGAGCTCGGGCTGCTCCTGGGGACAGAGGGCTCCAGGGCTCGTGACACACACCCCGACTACGGGGCGTCACGCTGGCAGGGCGCCAGAAGGACAGGCGCAGACCCAGGCCCTGGCTACAGGCTGGTCTGCTACCAAGGAAGTGGCTTGGCCCTGTCCTAGGAAATAAGGGGCGAGTCCAGACTCAACCCTCGGCTCGGGGCCTGAAAGGGGACCCCCCTGCATCTGCACAGAGCCCTGCGTTCCCTTCTGGGAAGCCAAAGCTAAGCAAGCTGCAGCTTTTTTATTTTTATTTTTAACAGGGGCCTAGAGGACGGGCTCACTCACACACCCCGACAAGGACAGGGAGAGGGAGAAGAGGGAGAGGGCCAGGGCCAGGGGCAAACTTGGCTTTCCACAAGAGACAGGGAACTGCGTGCAGACACCATCCAGAGCGGGCCGGGGGGCAACCCCTACCCACGAGCAGGCCAGGAGAGCCTCAGACCCACCCCATCGGGGCTGCATGCCGTGACACACACCCCGCCTACGGGGCGTCACGCTGGCCGCAGGCAGAAAGCCGCCAGGGCCGCAGGAGTCGGGTGGGCAAAACGGCCCTCCCCTGCTTACAGGGTGGCCTTGGGGTCCAGAGAGCTCCAGTTCCCCCTCGGGTGCGGAGACAGTGGCGCTCACCCTCCTTACAGGGTTGACACTCTCTCCAGGCAGCCAAAGGAGCAGCGTGGCAAAAGGCCGACTAAAGCAAAAGACCTGAGCCCTGCTTACAGGGAGGTCGCCCAGCGCAAAGCCGGCCAGGACACCAAAGGTGCCGGCCATGCTCTTCTTACGTGTCTGCAGACCTCTCGACCGGGACGGCCTTTTGCCCAGAGTGCCTTTCTCTTTGCTCCTCTGCTCCTCTTCTTCGTCAGTCTTGCCTCGCAGTGCAGGTCCACACGACGCCTCCCTCTTCTCCTCTTCTTCGTCGCTCTTGCCTCGCAGTGCAGGTCCACACGACGCCTCCCTCTTCTTTCTTCCCCACCGGCTGCTGCTGCAAAGGAAGGACGAGACGCTTAGACCAACTCCTGTGCCTGGCGGATATGGGGAGCCCCGTCCCCGGAGAGAGCTCCCCACAGCACTGCCTGGCCCCTGGCTCAGCCCTGCCACCCTCCAGACCAGACACCCAGACAGCCCCTGACAAAAACAGCGGAAATGAGCTTTTCTCACCTGAGGGACGCGCAGCAGAGCTCCAGCCGGTGCTGGAGCTGGGCTCGGAGGCGGGCACCCTGGGCAAACGGAGCTGGGCAGGCAAAGCAGCGGCCAGACAGGCTGCACCCCTGCTTACAGGGGGCTCGAGCCGCTGCCTGGACCGCAAAGTGCCCGGGACGCCAGGGCACTGGCTGGCCCCCGAGTTACGGGGCAGCCCTGGTCCCAAAGGCAAACGGAGGCTCCTTCTCTCCGATTCCGGGGCACCCTGACCGCGAACCCGCTAACGGGACGGTCACCCCACACCGGCTGCCAGCGGAGCACAAAGGCTCCCAGACCCGCACCCCTGATTACAGGCAGGTCGACACCCAGGGAGCCCCAGAGCTCGGCCTTCCCCCACACCAGCAGGAACGACTTCTCAGCAGCCAGGCGGTGGAGCGGCACGGCCAAAGGCCGGGGGCCGGGACCCCAGCCCCGAGTACGGGGAGGGCACGCCCGGCCCCTCCACACAACTCGGCCCCGCGCCTCTGAAAGGCCGGGGCCACAGGTGCCCGCCCCCCTGATTACAGCGGGGGCCCTACAGGCGCCTCCTGTCCAGGGCAGGGGACACGCACAGCCCTGCCTACAGGGCGGTCCCCCCACGCCTCACCGCCTCCCAAGAAAGCCCCATGGAGCACGAGGCTCCGGCCTAGGCCCGACGGACGGGCTGGCCCTCCTGGCTGCAGCACAACACCACGTCTTCAGGAGCCCAGGGAGACACCTCCGCGCCAACTGCGCGCACGTCACCCCAACCAAAAGCAACGCCAAAGGCGATGGGACTATGCCCGCCTTCCGGCACAACACTTCCTCAGCCGGCCCCCTCCGATGGGGCGATGCTGGGGTTGTTCCTGCTGGCTGGCTAAAGCAGCCGGCTGCGGCACTGCCGCCACCTCCGCCCTGCTTACAGGGGGAGCTCGGGCTGCTCCTGGGGACAGAGGGCTCCAGGGCTCGTGACACACACCCCGACTACGGGGCGTCACGCTGGCCGCAGGCAGAAAGCTGCCAGGGCCGCAGGAGTCGGGTGGGCAAAACGGCCCTCCCCTGCTTACAGGGTGGCCTTGGGGTCCAGAGAGCTCCAGTTCCCCCTCGGGTGCGGAGACAGTGGCGCTCACCCTCCTTACAGGGTTGACACTCTCTCCAGGCAGCCAAAGGAGCAGCGTGGCAAAAGGCCGACTAAAGCAAAAGACCTGAGCCCTGCTTACAGGGAGGTCGCCCAGCGCAAAGCCGGCCAGGACACCAAAGGTGCTGGCCATGCTCTTCTTACGTGTCTGCAGACCTCTCGACCGGGACGGCCTTTTGCCCAGAGTGCCTTTCTCTTTGCTCCTCTGCTCCTCTTCTTCGTCAGTCTTGCCTCGCAGTGCAGGTCCACACGACGCCTCCCTCTTCTCCTCTTCTTCGTCGCTCTTGCCTCGCAGTGCAGGTCCACACGACGCCTCCCTCTTCTTTCTTCCCCACCGGCTGCTGCTGCAAAGGAAGGACGAGACGCTTAGACCAACTCCTGTGCCTGGCGGATATGGGGAGCCCCGTCCCCGGAGAGAGCTCCCCACAGCACTGCCTGGCCCCTGGCTCAGCCCTGCCACCCTCCAGACCAGACACCCAGACAGCCCCTGACAAAAACAGCGGAAATGAGCTTTTCTCACCTGAGGGACGCGCAGCAGAGTTCCAGCCGGTGCTGGAGCTGGGCTCGGAGGCGGGCACCCTGGGCAAACGGAGCTGGGCAGGCAAAGCAGCGGCCAGACAGGCTGCACCCCTGCTTACAGGGGGCTCGAGCCGCTGCCTGGACCGCAAAGTGCCCGGGACGCCAGGGCACTGGCTGGCCCCCGAGTTACGGGGCAGCCCTGGTCCCAAAGGCAAACGGAGGCTCCTTCTCTCCGATTCCGGGGCACCCTGACCGCGAACCCGCTAACGGGACGGTCACCCCACACCGGCTGCCAGCGGAGCACAAAGGCTCCCAGACCCGCACCCCTGATTACAGGCAGGTCGACACCCAGGGAGCCCCAGAGCTCGGCCTTCCCCCACACCAGCAGGAACGACTTCTCAGCAGCCAGGCGGTGGAGCGGCACGGCCAAAGGCCGGGGGCCGGGACCCCAGCCCCGAGTACGGGGAGGGCACGCCCGGCCCCTCCACACAACTCGGCCCCGCGCCTCTGAAAGGCCGGGGCCACAGGTGCCCGCCCCCCTGATTACAGCGGGGGCCCTACAGGCGCCTCCTGTCCAGGGCAGGGGACACGCACAGCCCTGCCTACAGGGCGGTCCCCCCACGCCTCACCGCCTTCCAAGAAAGCCCCATGGAGCACGAGGCTCCGGCCTAGGCCCGACGGACGGGCTGGCCCTCCTGGCTGCAGCACAACACCACGTCTTCAGGAGCCCAGGGAGACACCTCCGCGCCAACTGCGCGCACGTCACCCCAACCAAAAGCAACGCCAAAGGCGATGGGACTATGCCCGCCTTCCGGCACAACACTTCCTCAGCCGGCCCCCTCCGATGGGGCGATGCTGGGGTTGTTCCTGCTGGCTGGCTAAAGCAGCCGGCTGCGGCACTGCCGCCACCTCCGCCCTGCTTACAGGGGGAGCTCGGGCTGCTCCTGGGGACAGAGGGCTCCAGGGCTCGTGACACACACCCCGACTACGGGGCGTCACGCTGGCCGCAGGCAGAAAGCTGCCAGGGCCGCAGGAGTCGGGTGGGCAAAACGGCCCTCCCCTGCTTACAGGGTGGCCTTGGGGTCCAGAGAGCTCCAGTTCCCCCTCGGGTGCGGAGACAGTGGCGCTCACCCTCCTTACAGGGTTGACACTCTCTCCAGGCAGCCAAAGGAGCAGCGTGGCAAAAGGCCGACTAAAGCAAAAGACCTGAGCCCTGCTTACAGGGAGGTCGCCCAGCGCAAAGCCGGCCAGGACACCAAAGGTGCTGGCCATGCTCTTCTTACGTGTCTGCAGACCTCTCGACCGGGACGGCCTTTTGCCCAGAGTGCCTTTCTCTTTGCTCCTCTGCTCCTCTTCTTCGTCAGTCTTGCCTCGCAGTGCAGGTCCACACGACGCCTCCCTCTTCTCCTCTTCTTCGTCGCTCTTGCCTCGCAGTGCAGGTCCACACGACGCCTCCCTCTTCTTTCTTCCCCACCGGCTGCTGCTGCAAAGGAAGGACGAGACGCTTAGACCAACTCCTGTGCCTGGCGGATATGGGGAGCCCCGTCCCCGGAGAGAGCTCCCCACAGCACTGCCTGGCCCCTGGCTCAGCCCTGCCACCCTCCAGACCAGACACCCAGACAGCCCCTGACAAAAACAGCGGAAATGAGCTTTTCTCACCTGAGGGACGCGCAGCAGAGCTCCAGCCGGTGCTGGAGCTGGGCTCGGAGGCGGGCACCCTGGGCAAACGGAGCTGGGCAGGCAAAGCAGCGGCCAGACAGGCTGCACCCCTGCTTACAGGGGGCTCGAGCCGCTGCCTGGACCGCAAAGTGCCCGGGACGCCAGGGCACTGGCTGGCCCCCGAGTTACGGGGCAGCCCTGGTCCCAAAGGCAAACGGAGGCTCCTTCTCTCCGATTCCGGGGCACCCTGACCGCGAACCCGCTAACGGGACGGTCACCCCACACCGGCTGCCAGCGGAGCACAAAGGCTCCCAGACCCGCACCCCTGATTACAGGCAGGTCGACACCCAGGGAGCCCCAGAGCTCGGCCTTCCCCCACACCAGCAGGAACGACTTCTCAGCAGCCAGGCGGTGGAGCGGCACGGCCAAAGGCCGGGGGCCGGGACCCCAGCCCCGAGTACGGGGAGGGCACGCCCGGCCCCTCCACACAACTCGGCCCCGCGCCTCTGAAAGGCCGGGGCCACAGGTGCCCGCCCCCCTGATTACAGCGGGGGCCCTACAGGCGCCTCCTGTCCAGGGCAGGGGACACGCACAGCCCTGCCTACAGGGCGGTCCCCCCACGCCTCACCGCCTCCCAAGAAAGCCCCATGGAGCACGAGGCTCCGGCCTAGGCCCGACGGACGGGCTGGCCCTCCTGGCTGCAGCACAACACCACGTCTTCAGGAGCCCAGGGAGACACCTCCGCGCCAACTGCGCGCACGTCACCCCAACCAAAAGCAACGCCAAAGGCGATGGGACTATGCCCGCCTTCCGGCACAACACTTCCTCAGCCGGCCCCCTCCGATGGGGCGATGCTGGGGTTGTTCCTGCTGGCTGGCTAAAGCAGCCGGCTGCGGCACTGCCGCCACCTCCGCCCTGCTTACAGGGGGAGCTCGGGCTGCTCCTGGGGACAGAGGGCTCCAGGGCTCGTGACACACACCCCGCCTACGGGGCGTCACGCTGGCCGCAGGCAGAAAGCTGCCAGGGCCGCAGGAGTCGGGTGGGCAAAACGGCCCTCCCCTGCTTACAGGGTGGCCTTGGGGTCCAGAGAGCTCCAGTTCCCCCTCGGGTGCGGAGACAGTGGCGCTCACCCTCCTTACAGGGTTGACACTCTCTCCAGGCAGCCAAAGGAGCAGCGTGGCAAAAGGCCGACTAAAGCAAAAGACCTGAGCCCTGCTTACAGGGAGGTCGCCCAGCGCAAAGCCGGCCAGGACACCAAAGGTGCCGGCCATGCTCTTCTTACGTGTCTGCAGACCTCTCGACCGGGACGGCCTTTTGCCCAGAGTGCCTTTCTCTTTGCTCCTCTGCTCCTCTTCTTCGTCAGTCTTGCCTCGCAGTGCAGGTCCACACGACGCCTCCCTCTTCTCCTCTTCTTCGTCGCTCTTGCCTCGCAGTGCAGGTCCACACGACGCCTCCCTCTTCTTTCTTCCCCACCGGCTGCTGCTGCAAAGGAAGGACGAGACGCTTAGACCAACTCCTGTGCCTGGCGGATATGGGGAGCCCCGTCCCCGGAGAGAGCTCCCCACAGCACTGCCTGGCCCCTGGCTCAGCCCTGCCACCCTCCAGACCAGACACCCAGACAGCCCCTGACAAAAACAGCGGAAATGAGCTTTTCTCACCTGAGGGACGCGCAGCAGAGCTCCAGCCGGTGCTGGAGCTGGGCTCGGAGGCGGGCACCCTGGGCAAACGGAGCTGGGCAGGCAAAGCAGCGGCCAGACAGGCTGCACCCCTGCTTACAGGGGGCTCGAGCCGCTGCCTGGACCGCAAAGTGCCCGGGACGCCAGGGCACTGGCTGGCCCCCGAGTTACGGGGCAGCCCTGGTCCCAAAGGCAAACGGAGGCTCCTTCTCTCCGATTCCGGGGCACCCTGACCGCGAACCCGCTAACGGGACGGTCACCCCACACCGGCTGCCAGCGGAGCACAAAGGCTCCCAGACCCGCACCCCTGATTACAGGCAGGTCGACACCCAGGGAGCCCCAGAGCTTGGCCTTCCCCCACACCAGCAGGAACGACTTCTCAGCAGCCAGGCGGTGGAGCGGCACGGCCAAAGGCCGGGGGCCGGGACCCCAGCCCCGAGTACGGGGAGGGCACGCCCGGCCCCTCCACACAACTCGGCCCCGCGCCTCTGAAAGGCCGGGGCCACAGGTGCCCGCCCCCCTGATTACAGCGGGGGCCCTACAGGCGCCTCCTGTCCAGGGCAGGGGACACGCACAGCCCTGCCTACAGGGCGGTCCCCCCACGCCTCACCGCCTCCCAAGAAAGCCCCATGGAGCACGAGGCTCCGGCCTAGGCCCGACGGACGGGCTGGCCCTCCTGGCTGCAGCACAACACCACGTCTTCAGGAGCCCAGGGAGACACCTCCGCGCCAACTGCGCGCACGTCACCCCAACCAAAAGCAACGCCAAAGGCGATGGGACTATGCCCGCCTTCCGGCACAACACTTCCTCAGCCGGCCCCCTCCGATGGGGCGATGCTGGGGTTGTTCCTGCTGGCTGGCTAAAGCAGCCGGCTGCGGCACTGCCGCCACCTCCGCCCTGCTTACAGGGGGAGCTCGGGCTGCTCCTGGGGACAGAGGGCTCCAGGGCTCGTGACACACACCCCGACTACGGGGCGTCACGCTGGCCGCAGGCAGAAAGCTGCCAGGGCCGCAGGAGTCGGGTGGGCAAAACGGCCCTCCCCTGCTTACAGGGTGGCCTTGGGGTCCAGAGAGCTCCAGTTCCCCCTCGGGTGCGGAGACAGTGGCGCTCACCCTCCTTACAGGGTTGACACTCTCTCCAGGCAGCCAAAGGAGCAGCGTGGCAAAAGGCCGACTAAAGCAAAAGACCTGAGCCCTGCTTACAGGGAGGTCGCCCAGCGCAAAGCCGGCCAGGACACCAAAGGTGCCGGCCATGCTCTTCTTACGTGTCTGCAGACCTCTCGACCGGGACGGCCTTTTGCCCAGAGTGCCTTTCTCTTTGCTCCTCTGCTCCTCTTCTTCGTCAGTCTTGCCTCGCAGTGCAGGTCCACACGACGCCTCCCTCTTCTCCTCTTCTTCGTCGCTCTTGCCTCGCAGTGCAGGTCCACACGACGCCTCCCTCTTCTTTCTTCCCCACCGGCTGCTGCTGCAAAGGAAGGACGAGACGCTTAGACCAACTCCTGTGCCTGGCGGATATGGGGAGCCCCGTACCCGGAGAGAGCTCCCCACAGCACTGCCTGGCCCCTGGCTCAGCCCTGCCACCCTCCAGACCAGACACCCAGACAGCCCCTGACAAAAACAGCGGAAATGAGCTTTTCTCACCTGAGGGACGCGCAGCAGAGCTCCAGCCGGTGCTGGAGCTGGGCTCGGAGGCGGGCACCCTGGGCAAACGGAGCTGGGCAGGCAAAGCAGCGGCCAGACAGGCTGCACCCCTGCTTACAGGGGGCTCGAGCCGCTGCCTGGACCGCAAAGTGCCCGGGACGCCAGGGCACTGGCTGGCCCCCGAGTTACGGGGCAGCCCTGGTCCCAAAGGCAAACGGAGGCTCCTTCTCTCCGATTCCGGGGCACCCTGACCGCGAACCCGCTAACGGGACGGTCACCCCACACCGGCTGCCAGCGGAGCACAAAGGCTCCCAGACCCGCACCCCTGATTACAGGCAGGTCGACACCCAGGGAGCCCCAGAGCTCGGCCTTCCCCCACACCAGCTGGAACGACTTCTCAGCAGCCAGGCGGTGGAGCGGCACGGCCAAAGGCCGGGGGCCGGGACCCCAGCCCCGAGTACGGGGAGGGCACGCCCGGCCCCTCCACACAACTCGGCCCCGCGCCTCTGAAAGGCCGGGGCCACAGGTGCCCGCCCCCCTGATTACAGCGGGGGCCCTACAGGCGCCTCCTGTCCAGGGCAGGGGACACGCACAGCCCTGCCTACAGGGCGGTCCCCCCACGCCTCACCGCCTCCCAAGAAAGCCCCATGGAGCACGAGGCTCCGGCCTAGGCCCGACGGACGGGCTGGCCCTCCTGGCTGCAGCACAACACCACGTCTTCAGGAGCCCAGGGAGACACCTCCGCGCCAACTGCGCGCACGTCACCCCAACCAAAAGCAACGCCAAAGGCGATGGGACTATGCCCGCCTTCCGGCACAACACTTCCTCAGCCGGCCCCCTCCGATGGGGCGATGCTGGGGTTGTTCCTGCTGGCTGGCTAAAGCAGCCGGCTGCGGCACTGCCGCCACCTCCGCCCTGCTTACAGGGGGAGCTCGGGCTGCTCCTGGGGACAGAGGGCTCCAGGGCTCGTGACACACACCCCGACTACGGGGCGTCACGCTGGCCGCAGGCAGAAAGCTGCCAGGGCCGCAGGAGTCGGGTGGGCAAAACGGCCCTCCCCTGCTTACAGGGTGGCCTTGGGGTCCAGAGAGCTCCAGTTCCCCCTCGGGTGCGGAGACAGTGGCGCTCACCCTCCTTACAGGGTTGACACTCTCTCCAGGCAGCCAAAGGAGCAGCGTGGCAAAAGGCCGACTAAAGCAAAAGACCTGAGCCCTGCTTACAGGGAGGTCGCCCAGCGCAAAGCCGGCCAGGACACCAAAGGTGCCGGCCATGCTCTTCTTACGTGTCTGCAGACCTCTCGACCGGGACGGCCTTTTGCCCAGAGTGCCTTTCTCTTTGCTCCTCTGCTCCTCTTCTTCGTCAGTCTTGCCTCGCAGTGCAGGTCCACACGACGCCTCCCTCTTCTCCTCTTCTTCGTCGCTCTTGCCTCGCAGTGCAGGTCCACACGACGCCTCCCTCTTCTTTCTTCCCCACCGGCTGCTGCTGCAAAGGAAGGACGAGACGCTTAGACCAACTCCTGTGCCTGGCGGATATGGGGAGCCCCGTCCCCGGAGAGAGCTCCCCACAGCACTGCCTGGCCCCTGGCTCAGCCCTGCCACCCTCCAGACCAGACACCCAGACAGCCCCTGACAAAAACAGCGGAAATGAGCTTTTCTCACCTGAGGGACACGCAGCAGAGCTCCAGCCGGTGCTGGAGCTGGGCTCGGAGGCGGGCACCCTGGGCAAACGGAGCTGGGCAGGCAAAGCAGCGGCCAGACAGGCTGCACCCCTGCTTACAGGGGGCTCGAGCCGCTGCCTGGACCGCAAAGTGCCCGGGACGCCAGGGCACTGGCTGGCCCCCGAGTTACGGGGCAGCCCTGGTCCCAAAGGCAAACGGAGGCTCCTTCTCTCCGATTCCGGGGCACCCTGACCGCGAACCCGCTAACGGGACGGTCACCCCACACCGGCTGCCAGCGGAGCACAAAGGCTCCCAGACCCGCACCCCTGATTACAGGCAGGTCGACACCCAGGGAGCCCCAGAGCTCGGCCTTCCCCCACACCAGCAGGAACGACTTCTCAGCAGCCAGGCGGTGGAGCAGCACGGCCAAAGGCCGGGGGCCGGGACCCCAGCCCCGAGTACGGGGAGGGCACGCCCGGCCCCTCCACACAACTCGGCCCCGCGCCTCTGAAAGGCCGGGGCCACAGGTGCCCGCCCCCCTGATTACAGCGGGGGCCCTACAGGCGCCTCCTGTCCAGGGCAGGGGACACGCACAGCCCTGCCTACAGGGCGGTCCCCCCACGCCTCACCGCCTTCCAAGAAAGCCCCATGGAGCACGAGGCTCCGGCCTAGGCCCGACGGACGGGCTGGCCCTCCTGGCTGCAGCACAACACCACGTCTTCAGGAGCCCAGGGAGACACCTCCGCGCCAACTGCGCGCACGTCACCCCAACCAAAAGCAACGCCAAAGGCGATGGGACTATGCCCGCCTTCCGGCACAACACTTCCTCAGCCGGCCCCCTCCGATGGGGCGATGCTGGGGTTGTTCCTGCTGGCTGGCTAAAGCAGCCGGCTGCGGCACTGCCGCCACCTCCGCCCTGCTTACAGGGGGAGCTCGGGCTGCTCCTGGGGACAGAGGGCTCCAGGGCTCGTGACACACACCCCGCCTACGGGGCGTCACGCTGGCCGCAGGCAGAAAGCTGCCAGGGCCGCAGGAGTCGGGTGGGCAAAACGGCCCTCCCCTGCTTACAGGGTGGCCTTGGGGTCCAGAGAGCTCCAGTTCCCCCTCGGGTGCGGAGACAGTGGCGCTCACCCTCCTTACAGGGTTGACACTCTCTCCAGGCAGCCAAAGGAGCAGCGTGGCAAAAGGCCGACTAAAGCAAAAGACCTGAGCCCTGCTTACAGGGAGGTCGCCCAGCGCAAAGCCGGCCAGGACACCAAAGGTGCCGGCCATGCTCTTCTTACGTGTCTGCAGACCTCTCGACCGGGACGGCCTTTTGCCCAGAGTGCCTTTCTCTTTGCTCCTCTGCTCCTCTTCTTCGTCAGTCTTGCCTCGCAGTGCAGGTCCACACGACGCCTCCCTCTTCTCCTCTTCTTCGTCGCTCTTGCCTCGCAGTGCAGGTCCACACGACGCCTCCCTCTTCTTTCTTCCCCACCGGCTGCTGCTGCAAAGGAAGGACGAGACGCTTAGACCAACTCCTGTGCCTGGCGGATATGGGGAGCCCCGTCCCCGGAGAGAGCTCCCCACAGCACTGCCTGGCCCCTGGCTCAGCCCTGCCACCCTCCAGACCAGACACCCAGACAGCCCCTGACAAAAACAGCGGAAATGAGCTTTTCTCACCTGAGGGACGCGCAGCAGAGTTCCAGCCGGTGCTGGAGCTGGGCTCGGAGGCGGGCACCCTGGGCAAACGGAGCTGGGCAGGCAAAGCAGCGGCCAGACAGGCTGCACCCCTGCTTACAGGGGGCTCGAGCCGCTGCCTGGACCGCAAAGTGCCCGGGACGCCAGGGCACTGGCTGGCCCCCGAGTTACGGGGCAGCCCTGGTCCCAAAGGCAAACGGAGGCTCCTTCTCTCCGATTCCGGGGCACCCTGACCGCGAACCCGCTAACGGGACGGTCACCCCACACCGGCTGCCAGCGGAGCACAAAGGCTCCCAGACCCGCACCCCTGATTACAGGCAGGTCGACACCCAGGGAGCCCCAGAGCTCGGCCTTCCCCCACACCAGCAGGAACGACTTCTCAGCAGCCAGGCGGTGGAGCGGCACGGCCAAAGGCCGGGGGCCGGGACCCCAGCCCCGAGTACGGGGAGGGCACGCCCGGCCCCTCCACACAACTCGGCCCCGCGCCTCTGAAAGGCCGGGGCCACAGGTGCCCGCCCCCCTGATTACAGCGGGGGCCCTACAGGCGCCTCCTGTCCAGGGCAGGGGACACGCACAGCCCTGCCTACAGGGCGGTCCCCCCACGCCTCACCGCCTCCCAAGAAAGCCCCATGGAGCACGAGGCTCCGGCCTAGGCCCGACGGACGGGCTGGCCCTCCTGGCTGCAGCACAACACCACGTCTTCAGGAGCCCAGGGAGACACCTCCGCGCCAACTGCGCGCACGTCACCCCAACCAAAAGCAACGCCAAAGGCGATGGGACTATGCCCGCCTTCCGGCACAACACTTCCTCAGCCGGCCCCCTCCGATGGGGCGATGCTGGGGTTGTTCCTGCTGGCTGGCTAAAGCAGCCGGCTGCGGCACTGCCGCCACCTCCGCCCTGCTTACAGGGGGAGCTCGGGCTGCTCCTGGGGACAGAGGGCTCCAGGGCTCGTGACACACACCCCGACTACGGGGCGTCACGCTGGCCGCAGGCAGAAAGCTGCCAGGGCCGCAGGAGTCGGGTGGGCAAAACGGCCCTCCCCTGCTTACAGGGTGGCCTTGGGGTCCAGAGAGCTCCAGTTCCCCCTCGGGTGCGGAGACAGTGGCGCTCACCCTCCTTACAGGGTTGACACTCTCTCCAGGCAGCCAAAGGAGCAGCGTGGCAAAAGGCCGACTAAAGCAAAAGACCTGAGCCCTGCTTACAGGGAGGTCGCCCAGCGCAAAGCCGGCCAGGACACCAAAGGTGCTGGCCATGCTCTTCTTACGTGTCTGCAGACCTCTCGACCGGGACGGCCTTTTGCCCAGAGTGCCTTTCTCTTTGCTCCTCTGCTCCTCTTCTTCGTCAGTCTTGCCTCGCAGTGCAGGTCCACACGACGCCTCCCTCTTCTCCTCTTCTTCGTCGCTCTTGCCTCGCAGTGCAGGTCCACACGACGCCTCCCTCTTCTTTCTTCCCCACCGGCTGCTGCTGCAAAGGAAGGACGAGACGCTTAGACCAACTCCTGTGCCTGGCGGATATGGGGAGCCCCGTCCCCGGAGAGAGCTCCCCACAGCACTGCCTGGCCCCTGGCTCAGCCCTGCCACCCTCCAGACCAGACACCCAGACAGCCCCTGACAAAAACAGCGGAAATGAGCTTTTCTCACCTGAGGGACGCGCAGCAGAGTTCCAGCCGGTGCTGGAGCTGGGCTCGGAGGCGGGCACCCTGGGCAAACGGAGCTGGGCAGGCAAAGCAGCGGCCAGACAGGCTGCACCCCTGCTTACAGGGGGCTCGAGCCGCTGCCTGGACCGCAAAGTGCCCGGGACGCCAGGGCACTGGCTGGCCCCCGAGTTACGGGGCAGCCCTGGTCCCAAAGGCAAACGGAGGCTCCTTCTCTCCGATTCCGGGGCACCCTGACCGCGAACCCGCTAACGGGACGGTCACCCCACACCGGCTGCCAGCGGAGCACAAAGGCTCCCAGACCCGCACCCCTGATTACAGGCAGGTCGACACCCAGGGAGCCCCAGAGCTCGGCCTTCCCCCACACCAGCAGGAACGACTTCTCAGCAGCCAGGCGGTGGAGCGGCACGGCCAAAGGCCGGGGGCCGGGACCCCAGCCCCGAGTACGGGGAGGGCACGCCCGGCCCCTCCACACAACTCGGCCCCGCGCCTCTGAAAGGCCGGGGCCACAGGTGCCCGCCCCCCTGATTACAGCGGGGGCCCTACAGGCGCCTCCTGTCCAGGGCAGGGGACACGCACAGCCCTGCCTACAGGGCGGTCCCCCCACGCCTCACCGCCTCCCAAGAAAGCCCCATGGAGCACGAGGCTCCGGCCTAGGCCCGACGGACGGGCTGGCCCTCCTGGCTGCAGCACAACACCACGTCTTCAGGAGCCCAGGGAGACACCTCCGCGCCAACTGCGCGCACGTCACCCCAACCAAAAGCAACGCCAAAGGCGATGGGACTATGCCCGCCTTCCGGCACAACACTTCCTCAGCCGGCCCCCTCCGATGGGGCGATGCTGGGGTTGTTCCTGCTGGCTGGCTAAAGCAGCCGGCTGCGGCACTGCCGCCACCTCCGCCCTGCTTACAGGGGGAGCTCGGGCTGCTCCTGGGGACAGAGGGCTCCAGGGCTCGTGACACACACCCCGCCTACGGGGCGTCACGCTGGCCGCAGGCAGAAAGCTGCCAGGGCCGCAGGAGTCGGGTGGGCAAAACGGCCCTCCCCTGCTTACAGGGTGGCCTTGGGGTCCAGAGAGCTCCAGTTCCCCCTCGGGTGCGGAGACAGTGGCGCTCACCCTCCTTACAGGGTTGACACTCTCTCCAGGCAGCCAAAGGAGCAGCGTGGCAAAAGGCCGACTAAAGCAAAAGACCTGAGCCCTGCTTACAGGGAGGTCGCCCAGCGCAAAGCCGGCCAGGACACCAAAGGTGCCGGCCATGCTCTTCTTACGTGTCTGCAGACCTCTCGACCGGGACGGCCTTTTGCCCAGAGTGCCTTTCTCTTTGCTCCTCTGCTCCTCTTCTTCGTCAGTCTTGCCTCGCAGTGCAGGTCCACACGACGCCTCCCTCTTCTCCTCTTCTTCGTCGCTCTTGCCTCGCAGTGCAGGTCCACACGACGCCTCCCTCTTCTTTCTTCCCCACCGGCTGCTGCTGCAAAGGAAGGACGAGACGCTTAGACCAACTCCTGTGCCTGGCGGATATGGGGAGCCCCGTCCCCGGAGAGAGCTCCCCACAGCACTGCCTGGCCCCTGGCTCAGCCCTGCCACCCTCCAGACCAGACACCCAGACAGCCCCTGACAAAAACAGCGGAAATGAGCTTTTCTCACCTGAGGGACGCGCAGCAGAGCTCCAGCCGGTGCTGGAGCTGGGCTCGGAGGCGGGCACCCTGGGCAAACGGAGCTGGGCAGGCAAAGCAGCGGCCAGACAGGCTGCACCCCTGCTTACAGGGGGCTCGAGCCGCTGCCTGGACCGCAAAGTGCCCGGGACGCCAGGGCACTGGCTGGCCCCCGAGTTACGGGGCAGCCCTGGTCCCAAAGGCAAACGGAGGCTCCTTCTCTCCGATTCCAGGGCACCCTGACCGCGAACCCGCTAACGGGACGGTCACCCCACACCGGCTGCCAGCGGAGCACAAAGGCTCCCAGACCCGCACCCCTGATTACAGGCAGGTCGACACCCAGGGAGCCCCAGAGCTCGGCCTTCCCCCACACCAGCAGGAACGACTTCTCAGCAGCCAGGCGGTGGAGCGGCACGGCCAAAGGCCGGGGGCCGGGACCCCAGCCCCGAGTACGGGGAGGGCACGCCCGGCCCCTCCACACAACTCGGCCCCGCGCCTCTGAAAGGCCGGGGCCACAGGTGCCCGCCCCCCTGATTACAGCGGGGGCCCTACAGGCGCCTCCTGTCCAGGGCAGGGGACACGCACAGCCCTGCCTACAGGGCGGTCCCCCCACGCCTCACCGCCTCCCAAGAAAGCCCCATGGAGCACGAGGCTCCGGCCTAGGCCCGACGGACGGGCTGGCCCTCCTGGCTGCAGCACAACACCACGTCTTCAGGAGCCCAGGGAGACACCTCCGCGCCAACTGCGCGCACGTCACCCCAACCAAAAGCAACGCCAAAGGCGATGGGACTATGCCCGCCTTCCGGCACAACACTTCCTCAGCCGGCCCCCTCCGATGGGGCGATGCTGGGGTTGTTCCTGCTGGCTGGCTAAAGCAGCCGGCTGCGGCACTGCCGCCACCTCCGCCCTGCTTACAGGGGGAGCTCGGGCTGCTCCTGGGGACAGAGGGCTCCAGGGCTCGTGACACACACCCCGACTACGGGGCGTCACGCTGGCAGGGCGCCAGAAGGACAGGCGCAGACCCAGGCCCTGGCTACAGGCTGGTCTGCTACCAAGGAAGTGGCTTGGCCCTGTCCTAGGAAATAAGGGGCGAGTCCAGACTCAACCCTCGGCTCGGGGCCTGAAAGGGGACCCCCCTGCATCTGCACAGAGCCCTGCGTTCCCTTCTGGGAAGCCAAAGCTAAGCAAGCTGCAGCTTTTTTATTTTTATTTTTAACAGGGGCCTAGAGGACGGGCTCACTCACACACCCCGACAAGGACAGGGAGAGGGAGAAGAGGGAGAGGGCCAGGGCCAGGGGCAAACTTGGCTTTCCACAAGAGACAGGGAACTGCGTGCAGACACCATCCAGAGCGGGCCGGGGGGCAACCCCTACCCACGAGCAGGCCAGGAGAGCCTCAGACCCACCCCATCGGGGCTGCATGCCGTGACACACACCCCGCCTACGGGGCGTCACGCTGGCCGCAGGCAGAAAGCCGCCAGGGCCGCAGGAGTCGGGTGGGCAAAACGGCCCTCCCCTGCTTACAGGGTGGCCTTGGGGTCCAGAGAGCTCCAGTTCCCCCTCGGGTGCGGAGACAGTGGCGCTCACCCTCCTTACAAGGTTGACACTCTCTCCAGGCAGCCAAAGGAGCAGCGTGGCAAAAGGCCGACTAAAGCAAAAGACCTGAGCCCTGCTTACAGGGAGGTCGCCCAGCGCAAAGCCGGCCAGGACACCAAAGGTGCCGGCCATGCTCTTCTTACGTGTCTGCAGACCTCTCGACCGGGACGGCCTTTTGCCCAGAGTGCCTTTCTCTTTGCTCCTCTGCTCCTCTTCTTCGTCAGTCTTGCCTCGCAGTGCAGGTCCACACGACGCCTCCCTCTTCTCCTCTTCTTCGTCGCTCTTGCCTCGCAGTGCAGGTCCACACGACGCCTCCCTCTTCTTTCTTCCCCACCGGCTGCTGCTGCAAAGGAAGGACGAGACGCTTAGACCAACTCCTGTGCCTGGCGGATATGGGGAGCCCCGTCCCCGGAGAGAGCTCCCCACAGCACTGCCTGGCCCCTGGCTCAGCCCTGCCACCCTCCAGACCAGACACCCAGACAGCCCCTGACAAAAACAGCGGAAATGAGCTTTTCTCACCTGAGGGACGCGCAGCAGAGTTCCAGCCGGTGCTGGAGCTGGGCTCGGAGGCGGGCACCCTGGGCAAACGGAGCTGGGCAGGCAAAGCAGCGGCCAGACAGGCTGCACCCCTGCTTACAGGGGGCTCGAGCCGCTGCCTGGACCGCAAAGTGCCCGGGACGCCAGGGCACTGGCTGGCCCCCGAGTTACGGGGCAGCCCTGGTCCCAAAGGCAAACGGAGGCTCCTTCTCTCCGATTCCGGGGCACCCTGACCGCGAACCCGCTAACGGGACGGTCACCCCACACCGGCTGCCAGCGGAGCACAAAGGCTCCCAGACCCGCACCCCTGATTACAGGCAGGTCGACACCCAGGGAGCCCCAGAGCTCGGCCTTCCCCCACACCAGCAGGAACGACTTCTCAGCAGCCAGGCGGTGGAGCGGCACGGCCAAAGGCCGGGGGCCGGGACCCCAGCCCCGAGTACGGGGAGGGCACGCCCGGCCCCTCCACACAACTCGGCCCCGCGCCTCTGAAAGGCCGGGGCCACAGGTGCCCGCCCCCCTGATTACAGCGGGGGCCCTACAGGCGCCTCCTGTCCAGGGCAGGGGACACGCACAGCCCTGCCTACAGGGCGGTCCCCCCACGCCTCACCGCCTTCCCAAGAAAGCCCCATGGAGCACGAGGCTCCGGCCTAGGCCCGACGGACGGGCTGGCCCTCCTGGCTGCAGCACAACACCACGTCTTCAGGAGCCCAGGGAGACACCTCCGCGCCAACTGCGCGCACGTCACCCCAACCAAAAGCAACGCCAAAGGCGATGGGACTATGCCCGCCTTCCGGCACAACACTTCCTCAGCCGGCCCCCTCCGATGGGGCGATGCTGGGGTTGTTCCTGCTGGCTGGCTAAAGCAGCCGGCTGCGGCACTGCCGCCACCTCCGCCCTGCTTACAGGGGGAGCTCGGGCTGCTCCTGGGGACAGAGGGCTCCAGGGCTCGTGACACACACCCCGACTACGGGGCGTCACGCTGGCAGGGCGCCAGAAGGACAGGCGCAGACCCAGGCCCTGGCTACAGGCTGGTCTGCTACCAAGGAAGTGGCTTGGCCCTGTCCTAGGAAATAAGGGGCGAGTCCAGACTCAACCCTCGGCTCGGGGCCTGAAAGGGGACCCCCCTGCATCTGCACAGAGCCCTGCGTTCCCTTCTGGGAAGCCAAAGCTAAGCAAGCTGCAGCTTTTTTATTTTTATTTTTAACAGGGGCCTAGAGGACGGGCTCACTCACACACCCCGACAAGGACAGGGAGAGGGAGAAGAGGGAGAGGGCCAGGGCCAGGGGCAAACTTGGCTTTCCACAAGAGACAGGGAACTGCGTGCAGACACCATCCAGAGCGGGCCGGGGGGCAACCCCTACCCACGAGCAGGCCAGGAGAGCCTCAGACCCACCCCATCGGGGCTGCATGCCGTGACACACACCCCGCCTACGGGGCGTCACGCTGGCCGCAGGCAGAAAGCCGCCAGGGCCGCAGGAGTCGGGTGGGCAAAACGGCCCTCCCCTGCTTACAGGGTGGCCTTGGGGTCCAGAGAGCTCCAGTTCCCCCTCGGGTGCGGAGACAGTGGCGCTCACCCTCCTTACAGGGTTGACACTCTCTCCAGGCAGCCAAAGGAGCAGCGTGGCAAAAGGCCGACTAAAGCAAAAGACCTGAGCCCTGCTTACAGGGAGGTCGCCCAGCGCAAAGCCGGCCAGGACACCAAAGGTGCCGGCCATGCTCTTCTTACGTGTCTGCAGACCTCTCGACGGGGACGGCCTTTTGCCCAGAGTGCCTTTCTCTTTGCTCCTCTGCTCCTCTTCTTCGTCAGTCTTGCCTCGCAGTGCAGGTCCACACGACGCCTCCCTCTTCTCTTCTTCGTCGCTCTTGCCTCGCAGTGCAGGTCCACACGACGCCTCCCTCTTCTTTCTTCCCCACCGGCTGCTGCTGCAAAGGAAGGACGAGACGCTTAGACCAACTCCTGTGCCTGGCGGATATGGGGAGCCCCGTCCCCGGAGAGAGCTCCCCACAGCACTGCCTGGCCCCTGGCTCAGCCCTGCCACCCTCCAGACCAGACACCCAGACAGCCCCTGACAAAAACAGCGGAAATGAGCTTTTCTCACCTGAGGGACGCGCAGCAGAGCTCCAGCCGGTGCTGGAGCTGGGCTCGGAGGCGGGCACCCTGGGCAAACGGAGCTGGGCAGGCAAAGCAGCGGCCAGACAGGCTGCACCCCTGCTTACAGGGGGCTCGAGCCGCTGCCTGGACCGCAAAGTGCCCGGGACGCCAGGGCACTGGCTGGCCCCCGAGTTACGGGGCAGCCCTGGTCCCAAAGGCAAACGGAGGCTCCTTCTCTCCGATTCCGGGGCACCCTGACCGCGAACCCGCTAACGGGACGGTCACCCCACACCGGCTGCCAGCGGAGCACAAAGGCTCCCAGACCCGCACCCCTGATTACAGGCAGGTCGACACCCAGGGAGCCCCAGAGCTCGGCCTTCCCCCACACCAGCAGGAACGACTTCTCAGCAGCCAGGCGGTGGAGCGGCACGGCCAAAGGCCGGGGGCCGGGACCCCAGCCCCGAGTACGGGGAGGGCACGCCCGGCCCCTCCACACAACTCGGCCCCGCGCCTCTGAAAGGCCGGGGCCACAGGTGCCCGCCCCCCTGATTACAGCGGGGGCCCTACAGGCGCCTCCTGTCCAGGGCAGGGGACACGCACAGCCCTGCCTACAGGGCGGTCCCCCCACGCCTCACCGCCTTCCAAGAAAGCCCCATGGAGCACGAGGCTCCGGCCTAGGCCCGACGGACGGGCTGGCCCTCCTGGCTGCAGCACAACACCACGTCTTCAGGAGCCCAGGGAGACACCTCCGCGCCAACTGCGCGCACGTCACCCCAACCAAAAGCAACGCCAAAGGCGATGGGACTATGCCCGCCTTCCGGCACAACACTTCCTCAGCCGGCCCCCTCCGATGGGGCGATGCTGGGGTTGTTCCTGCTGGCTGGCTAAAGCAGCCGGCTGCGGCACTGCCGCCACCTCCGCCCTGCTTACAGGGGGAGCTCGGGCTGCTCCTGGGGACAGAGGGCTCCAGGGCTCGTGACACACACCCCGACTACGGGGCGTCACGCTGGCAGGGCGCCAGAAGGACAGGCGCAGACCCAGGCCCTGGCTACAGGCTGGTCTGCTACCAAGGAAGTGGCTTGGCCCTGTCCTAGGAAATAAGGGGCGAGTCCAGACTCAACCCTCGGCTCGGGGCCTGAAAGGGGACCCCCCTGCATCTGCACAGAGCCCTGCGTTCCCTTCTGGGAAGCCAAAGCTAAGCAAGCTGCAGCTTTTTTATTTTTATTTTTAACAGGGGCCTAGAGGACGGGCTCACTCACACACCCCGACAAGGACAGGGAGAGGGAGAAGAGGGAGAGGGCCAGGGCCAGGGGCAAACTTGGCTTTCCACAAGAGACAGGGAACTGCGTGCAGACACCATCCAGAGCGGGCCGGGGGGCAACCCCTACCCACGAGCAGGCCAGGAGAGCCTCAGACCCACCCCATCGGGGCTGCATGCCGTGACACACACCCCGCCTACGGGGCGTCACGCTGGCCGCAGGCAGAAAGCCGCCAGGGCCGCAGGAGTCGGGTGGGCAAAACGGCCCTCCCCTGCTTACAGGGTGGCCTTGGGGTCCAGAGAGCTCCAGTTCCCCCTCGGGTGCGGAGACAGTGGCGCTCACCCTCCTTACAGGGTTGACACTCTCTCCAGGCAGCCAAAGGAGCAGCGTGGCAAAAGGCCGACTAAAGCAAAAGACCTGAGCCCTGCTTACAGGGAGGTCGCCCAGCGCAAAGCCGGCCAGGACACCAAAGGTGCCGGCCATGCTCTTCTTACGTGTCTGCAGACCTCTCGACCGGGACGGCCTTTTGCCCAGAGTGCCTTTCTCTTTGCTCCTCTGCTCCTCTTCTTCGTCAGTCTTGCCTCGCAGTGCAGGTCCACACTGACGCCTCCCTCTTCTCCTCTTCTTCGTCGCTCTTGCCTCGCAGTGCAGGTCCACACGACGCCTCCCTCTTCTTTCTTCCCCACCGGCTGCTGCTGCAAAGGAAGGACGAGACGCTTAGACCAACTCCTGAGCACCAACTCCTGTGCCTGGCGGATATGGGGAGCCCCGTCCCCGGAGAGAGCTCCCCACAGCACTGCCTGGCCCCTGGCTCAGCCCTGCCACCCTCCAGACCAGACACCCAGACAGCCCCTGACAAAAACAGCGGAAATGAGCTTTTCTCACCTGAGGGACGCGCAGCAGAGCTCCAGCCGGTGCTGGAGCTGGGCTCGGAGGCGGGCACCCTGGGCAAACGGAGCTGGGCAGGCAAAGCAGCGGCCAGACAGGCTGCACCCCTGCTTACAGGGGGCTCGAGCCGCTGCCTGGACCGCAAAGTGCCCGGGACGCCAGGGCACTGGCTGGCCCCCGAGTTACGGGGCAGCCCTGGTCCCAAAGGCAAACGGAGGCTCCTTCTCTCCGATTCCGGGGCACCCTGACCGCGAACCCGCTAACGGGACGGTCACCCCACACCGGCTGCCAGCGGAGCACAAAGGCTCCCAGACCCGCACCCCTGATTACAGGCAGGTCGACACCCAGGGAGCCCCAGAGCTCGGCCTTCCCCCACACCAGCAGGAACGACTTCTCAGCAGCCAGGCGGTGGAGCGGCACGGCCAAAGGCCGGGGGCCGGGACCCCAGCCCCGAGTACGGGGAGGGCACGCCCGGCCCCTCCACACAACTCGGCCCCGCGCCTCTGAAAGGCCGGGGCCACAGGTGCCCGCCCCCCTGATTACAGCGGGGGCCCTACAGGCGCCTCCTGTCCAGGGCAGGGGACACGCACAGCCCTGCCTACAGGGCGGTCCCCCCACGCCTCACCGCCTTCCAAGAAAGCCCCATGGAGCACGAGGCTCCGGCCTAGGCCCGACGGACGGGCTGGCCCTCCTGGCTGCAGCACAACACCACGTCTTCAGGAGCCCAGGGAGACACCTCCGCGCCAACTGCGCGCACGTCACCCCAACCAAAAGCAACGCCAAAGGCGATGGGACTATGCCCGCCTTCCGGCACAACACTTCCTCAGCCGGCCCCCTCCGATGGGGCGATGCTGGGGTTGTTCCTGCTGGCTGGCTAAAGCAGCCGGCTGCGGCACTGCCGCCACCTCCGCCCTGCTTACAGGGGGAGCTCGGGCTGCTCCTGGGGACAGAGGGCTCCAGGGCTCGTGACACACACCCCGACTACGGGGCGTCACGCTGGCCGCAGGCAGAAAGCCGCCAGGGCCGCAGGAGTCGGGTGGGCAAAACGGCCCTCCCCTGCTTACAGGGTGGCCTTGGGGTCCAGAGAGCTCCAGTTCCCCCTCGGGTGCGGAGACAGTGGCGCTCACCCTCCTTACAGGGTTGACACTCTCTCCAGGCAGCCAAAGGAGCAGCGTGGCAAAAGGCCGACTAAAGCAAAAGACCTGAGCCCTGCTTACAGGGAGGTCGCCCAGCGCAAAGCCGGCCAGGACACCAAAGGTGCCGGCCATGCTCTTCTTACGTGTCTGCAGACCTCTCGACCGGGACGGCCTTTTGCCCAGAGTGCCTTTCTCTTTGCTCCTCTGCTCCTCTTCTTCGTCAGCTCTTGCCTCGCAGTGCAGGTCCACACGACGCCTCCCTCTTCTCCTCTTCTTCGTCGCTCTTGCCTCGCAGTGCAGGTCCACACGACGCCTCCCTCTTCTTTCTTCCCCACCGGCTGCTGCTGCAAAGGAAGGACGAGACGCTTAGACCAACTCCTGTGCCTGGCGGATATGGGGAGCCCCGTCCCCGGAGAGAGCTCCCCACAGCACTGCCTGGCCCCTGGCTCAGCCCTGCCACCCTCCAGACCAGACACCCAGACAGCCCCTGACAAAAACAGCGGAAATGAGCTTTTCTCACCTGAGGGACGCGCAGCAGAGCTCCAGCCGGTGCTGGAGCTGGGCTCGGAGGCGGGCACCCTGGGCAAACGGAGCTGGGCAGGCAAAGCAGCGGCCAGACAGGCTGCACCCCTGCTTACAGGGGGCTCGAGCCGCTGCCTGGACCGCAAAGTGCCCGGGACGCCAGGGCACTGGCTGGCCCCCGAGTTACGGGGCAGCCCTGGTCCCAAAGGCAAACGGAGGCTCCTTCTCTCCGATTCCGGGGCACCCTGACCGCGAACCCGCTAACGGGACGGTCACCCCACACCGGCTGCCAGCGGAGCACAAAGGCTCCCAGACCCGCACCCCTGATTACAGGCAGGTCGACACCCAGGGAGCCCCAGAGCTCGGCCTTCCCCCACACCAGCAGGAACGACTTCTCAGCAGCCAGGCGGTGGAGCGGCACGGCCAAAGGCCGGGGGCCGGGACCCCAGCCCCGAGTACGGGGAGGGCACGCCCGGCCCCTCCACACAACTCGGCCCCGCGCCTCTGAAAGGCCGGGGCCACAGGTGCCCGCCCCCCTGATTACAGCGGGGGCCCTACAGGCGCCTCCTGTCCAGGGCAGGGGACACGCACAGCCCTGCCTACAGGGCGGTCCCCCCACGCCTCACCGCCTTCCAAGAAAGCCCCATGGAGCACGAGGCTCCGGCCTAGGCCCGACGGACGGGCTGGCCCTCCTGGCTGCAGCACAACACCACGTCTTCAGGAGCCCAGGGAGACACCTCCGCGCCAACTGCGCGCACGTCACCCCAACCAAAAGCAACGCCAAAGGCGATGGGACTATGCCCGCCTTCCGGCACAACACTTCCTCAGCCGGCCCCCTCCGATGGGGCGATGCTGGGGTTGTTCCTGCTGGCTGGCTAAAGCAGCCGGCTGCGGCACTGCCGCCACCTCCGCCCTGCTTACAGGGGGAGCTCGGGCTGCTCCTGGGGACAGAGGGCTCCAGGGCTCGTGACACACACCCCGACTACGGGGCGTCACGCTGGCAGGGCGCCAGAAGGACAGGCGCAGACCCAGGCCCTGGCTACAGGCTGGTCTGCTACCAAGGAAGTGGCTTGGCCCTGTCCTAGGAAATAAGGGGCGAGTCCAGACTCAACCCTCGGCTCGGGGCCTGAAAGGGGACCCCCCTGCATCTGCACAGAGCCCTGCGTTCCCTTCTGGGAAGCCAAAGCTAAGCAAGCTGCAGCTTTTTTATTTTTATTTTTAACAGGGGCCTAGAGGACGGGCTCACTCACACACCCCGACAAGGACAGGGAGAGGGAGAAGAGGGAGAGGGCCAGGGCCAGGGGCAAACTTGGCTTTCCACAAGAGACAGGGAACTGCGTGCAGACACCATCCAGAGCGGGCCGGGGGGCAACCCCTACCCACGAGCAGGCCAGGAGAGCCTCAGACCCACCCCATCGGGGCTGCATGCCGTGACACACACCCCGCCTACTGGGGCGTCACGCTGGCCGCAGGCAGAAAGCCGCCAGGGCCGCAGGAGTCGGGTGGGCAAAACGGCCCTCCCCTGCTTACAGGGTGGCCTTGGGGTCCAGAGAGCTCCAGTTCCCCCTCGGGTGCGGAGACAGTGGCGCTCACCCTCCTTACAGGGTTGACACTCTCTCCAGGCAGCCAAAGGAGCAGCGTGGCAAAAGGCCGACTAAAGCAAAAGACCTGAGCCCTGCTTACAGGGAGGTCGCCCAGCGCAAAGCCGGCCAGGACACCAAAGGTGCCGGCCATGCTCTTCTTACGTGTCTGCAGACCTCTCGACCGGGACGGCCTTTTGCCCAGAGTGCCTTTCTCTTTGCTCCTCTGCTCCTCTTCTTCGTCAGTCTTGCCTCGCAGTGCAGGTCCACACGACGCCTCCCTCTTCTTTCTTCCCCACTGGCTGCTGCTTCAAAGGAAGGACGAGACGTTTATAACAGTAGAGCTCTAGCTTCTCTCTCTTTCCCCATGAGCAAACTGCACCTGTTACTTCTCATTTTCTGTTTATTTTATCCATTTACTCTTTCTTTTTCACTTTATTTTTTTTACTTGTTATGTAAATAATACTTTTTCTTGTTTTTTTTTTTTCCCCCTTTAAATTAGAGGGAAAAGAGTTACTTCATAATGTAACATAATGTTACATAGTAATGTAAAGAATGTAACATCTATGTTTTTGTTCAAATTTCCTGTCACAGTATGCTTATTTTTTTTCCTCCATGTTACCTGAAGTTTATTCTCCTCCCATTTTATTCTCCTCCCTTTTTTGACTTCCCTATCTTCATTAAAAATATATTTTTTTCCTCCTAAATTACTGAAAAATGCTACATTAGAGACTTCTAATTTATTTCAGCTTTTCCCTAAAAAAAAAAAAAAAAAAAAGCACATTTTTGCCCTCGTTACCTGAGATTTTGCTTCAAAAGTTTCTATCCAATCCCTTCTAACTTATCTTAGTTTTTCCCTATAAAAAAATATTTGTTTGGCCACAAATTATTTGAATTTTTTTTCTCTGAAAATGCCATGTTTGAGCCTTGTTACCTACTTAACCTTTAATCTGGAAAAAATGGTCATTTTTTCTCACAATGTTACCTCTCAGAAATTTTCTCAAAAAAATCCACCTTTCACCCATCTAACTTACTTCAACTTTTCCCAGGAGAAAATGCTCATTTTTTGCCCTGACATTTCCCTAAAAAAAAAAAAAAAAAAAAAAAAAAAAAAAAAAAAGCCACCATCTTTGACCCTTGTCACTTACTCCAGCTTTTCACTGATAAAAATGCTCATTTTTGCATACAGTATTTTCCTCAAAACATCCTATCTGTGACCCTTCAATTTACTTCAGCCTTTTCCAGGAAAAAAAAAAAAAGCTGATTTTTGCCCATAAATTATCTCAACATTTTCCTGAAAAAATTCCACCTTTGACCCTTCTATCTTATTTCAGCTTTTCTCTAAAAAATCTGATTTTTTTCTGTGTCCTGACATTTCCTTTCAAAAACAAATGGTACCTTTGACCTTTCTAATTCACCTTATTTTTTCCCTGGAAAAAAGTGCTCCTTTTTGCCCACAAATTACCTCAACATTTTCCTCAAAAAATTCCACCTTTGCCACTTCTAATTTACCTCAAGTTTTCCCTCAAAAAAATGCTCATTTTTGCCCACTAAGTTACCTCACTTTTTTCCTTAAAAAAAATGCCATATTTGACTCTCTAATTTACCTCAGCTTTTCCCTACAAATATGCTCATTTTTGCCCAAAAATTACCTCAAAAATTTCCTCAAAAAAAAAATCCAGCTTTCTCCCTTCTAACTTACTTCAACTTTTCCCAGGGAAAAAAAATAAAAGCTGATTTTTTGTCCAAGCTATCTGAGATTTCCGAGGAAAAATGGAAAAGGAAAAAAAGAAGAGGAAAAAAGAGAAAAAGCCACCTTTGACCCTTGTCACTCACTTACTTCAGCTTTCCAGTGAAAAAAATGCTCATTTTTGCCCAAAAATTACCTCAACATTTTACTCAGAATAATCCACCTTTGAACCTTCTAACTTACTTCAGCTTTTCTCCAGAAAAAAAGCTGATTTTTGTCCACATATTACCTCAAAATTTTCCTAAAAAAAAAAAAAAAGATTTTTTTTGCCCTGACATTTCCCTTAAAAAATAAATAAATAAAGCCACCTTTGATCTTTGTCACTTACTTCAGATTTTCACTGATAAAAATGCTCATTTTTGCCCAGAACATACATCAATATTTTTCTCAGAAAATGCCAGCTTTGACCCTTCAATTTACCTCAGTATTTCACTGATAAAAATGCTCATTTTTGCATACAACGTTGTCCTCAAAACATCCTTTTTGTAACCCTTCAATTTACTTAAAGTTTTTTCTTGAGAAAAAAAAAAAATTTGATTTTTGCCCCAAAATTACCTCAACATTTTCCTTCAAAAGAATTCCACCCTTGCCACTTCTAACTTACCTCAGGTTTTCCCTCAAAAAAATGCTCATTTTTGTCCACAAATTACCTCAATATTTCCATCAAAAAATTCTACCTTTGACCCTTTAATTTACCTCAGGTTTTCACTGATAAAAATGCTCATTTTTGCATACAACATTTTCCTCAAAACATCCTACCTGTGACCCTTCAATTTACTTCATCTTTTCCCCGAAGGGGCGGGGGCGGGGGGGACTGATTCTTGCCCACAAATTACCTCAACATTTTCTTCAAAAAATTCCACCTTTGCCAATTCTAATTTACCTCAGCTTTTCCCTACAAATATGCTCATTTTTGCCCAAAAATTACCTCAAAATTTTCCTCAAAAAAAAATCCAGCTTTCTCCCTTTTAACTTACTTCAACTTTTCCCAGGGAAAAAAAAAAAAAAGCTGATTTTTTGTCCAAGCTATCTGAGATTTCCGAGGAAAAATGGAAAAGGAAAAAAAGAAGAGGAAAAAAGAGAAAAAGCCACCTTTGACCCTTGTCACTCACTTACTTCAGCTTTCCAGTGAAAAAAATGCTCATTTTTGCCCAAGCTATCTGAGATTTCCGAGGAAAAAAGGAAAAGGAAAAAAGAGAAAAAGCCACTTTTGACCCTTGTCACTCACTTACTTCAACTTTTCCCAGGGAAAAAAATGCTCATTTTTGCCCCAAAATTACCTCAACATTTTCCTCAAAACATTCCTCCTTTGACCCTTTTAACTTGCTTCAGCTTTTTCCTGAGAAGAAAAAAATAAAATAAAAAAGAAAAGGGGATATTTGCTCACAAATTACCTCAACATTTTCCTCAGAAAAATCTACCTTTGACCCTTTTAACTTACTTCAGCTTTTCCCTGGAAGAAAAAAAAAAAAAAAAAAAAAGAGGATTTTTGTCCACAAATTACCTCAACATTTCCATCAAAAAATTCTACTTTTGACCCTTCAATTTACCTCAGGTTTTCACTGATAAAAACGCTCATTTTTGCATACAACATTTTCCTCAAAACATCCTACCTGTGACTCTTCAATTTACTTCATCTTTTCCCTGGGGAAAAAAAAACAAAACAAAAAAAAAAACAAAAAAAAACTGATTCTTGCCCACAAATTACCTCAACATTTTCCTCAGAAAAAAATCTACCTTTGACCCTTCTAACTTACTTCAGCTTTTCCCAGGGAAAAAAAAAAAAAAAAAAAAAAAAAAAGAGGATTTTTGTCCACAAATTACCTCAGCATTTCCATCAAAATACTCCACCTTGGACCCTTCTAATTTACCACAGGTTTTCCCTCAAAAAAAAAAAAAAAAAAAAAAAAAAAAAAACAAACTGATTTTTACCTACAAATTACCTCAAATTTTTCCTCAGAAAATTCCACCTTTGACCCTTCTAATTTGCCTTAGCTTTTCCCCATAAAAAAAAGATGATTTTTGCCCGTTTCCTGAGATTTCCCTTCAAAAACAAATGCTACCTTTGACCCTTCTAATTTACCTTAGCTTTTCCTCACAACAAGCTGACTTTTGTCCACATATTACCTCAAGATTTTCCTCAAAAAATGCTACTTTTGACCCTTCTAACTTGGTTCTGCTTTTCCCTGGGGGAAAATAAAACAAAAACTGATATTTGCCACAGTTACCTGAGATTTCCCTTCAAAAAATACCACCATTTTCCCTTCTAATTTACCTTAGCTTTTCCCTACAAAAAAAAAAAAAAAAAAAAAAAAAAAAAAAAAAAAAAATAATAATAATAATAATAATGCTAATTTTTGCCCAAGTTTCTTCAGATTTCCCTTAAAAAAGGAAAATAAAAAATAAAAAAATAAAGCCAGCTTTGATCCTTCTAACTTACTTCAGCTTTTCCCTGAAAAAAAATTTTTTTTGTTGTTTTTGTTTGTTTTCGTTTTTTTGTGTGTGTTTTTTTTCTTTTCTTCTCCACAAATTACCTCAGTTTTTCCTCAAAAGTGCCATCTTTGACCCTTTAATTTACTTCAGCTTTTTCCTTGGAAGCAACACCCATTTTCCATTTTTGCCCACAAAATTTCTCAAACTGCTTATTCTGTTCCCTCTAAATCACCCCACCTTTTCCCTCCTAAAACGCCACCTATGCTCACTTTAATTTTTCTTAGGCTTTCCCTCTAAAATGTTCACGCTGCCCATATTACCTCTGATTTACCCTGAAAAACGTTCATTTTGTCCCAAGCCACCTCGGGCCCGATCCTTCTCCCTCCCGCCCCCACCTCAATTACCTCCACTTTTCTCTTAAAAAATTACCCCGAAATGCTACGCGGTCCTCTCAGATAACTCCCCAACGTCCCTAATTAACTTGTGCCTTTTGTGACAGCCCCCAGCTCCTCACACGGAGCGACTTTTTAAGGTTTATTATTACATATTATTACGCCCTACAAAGCGCACCCAATCGGCAGCCGCTCTCCTCAGCCTCCGCTGCTGACAGGCGCGTGGGCGGGGCTTTCAGTCAGCGGCCCGCCAACGGGCTCGCGCGCGGCGCGAGCGCCGCTCCCTGGCCGGCGCGGGGGGGAGCGGCGCGCTCCGTTCCCGCGCTCGGCGCAGCGCCGCCGTCCTGCGCGGGAAGAGCCCTGCAGCGCCCTGCAGCGAGGCGCGGGAAGCCGCGGGAAGCCGCGTCCCGGGGCGGTGCACGGGGTGTGCGCAGCCCCCTACACCCCCGTGTCCCCCAGCGGTGACGGGCCGTGCAGCAGCAGTCCCTCACCCCCTCAGAGGGGCACACGGGGCATGCACAGGTGGCTGCTTGTTGTTACCTTGGTTTGCAGAATTGCAGGGCAAAGCGTGTCAGCTCTGTGGGGGCGGTAGAGGCGAGGATGCTAAGCTGGGAGGTGATCTGCACCTCCTAGCTAAAGCAGTGCCCCTCAGAAGCAAATTGCCAATGCTCAAAGAGTTTAGCAGCGTCCCGAGCCCAGGCAATTTTGTGAGCTGCTATTAAAGGACTGGGAAGGCTAGAAAGGCTAAGGAGAAGGCTTACCTGCTTTAGGAGAAAGCAGGTAAGAGATGGTTCTTCCTTCTCGCTAAAGGGGTTTCAACCAAAGCAGAGCTGATATTGTGTGAATACTTGCCATGCTGCCATGGGCTTGCATCACATACAGGCAGTATGCTTGCTGGGTCTTAGCCCAGGCTCTGAGCCTCATCTTGTTCTTTCTGCCTGTGCTCAGGTACACGCTGAACGTCCTCGAGGACCTGGGTGACGGTCAGAAAGGCAGTGATGACATAATAATCATCCGGGTAAACACCTTGCAACAATGTTCTCTTCATCTGGTTCTCTCTTATGCACATATTTGTTTCTTTTCACATGAGGGCTCTGAGGTGGTCAGTATGAATTGTAGTGGGAATGGGTCTTGGTCTGCAATCCAATTTAATTGCAATCACTTTGTCCAAGCACATTCTATGTTTGACTGTTTCCTTAGCTTTGCAAACAAAGCCACCATACAAGTTGGGGCCTGCAAGGCCACAATGCTAAGTGAGGAACATGTGATTTGGAGACAGGTCTTCCTCTGACGCAAACCTGCTCTTGTACAGGTTGCATGGTAGAAGCTGTCACCACATCGGAGCGTTTTTTGGCCATCGGGTGGCAGTCAGCCCCAGTGCAGGAGGGGACCGGCGAGGAGAGGTGGAGTGAGTGCCCTTCGGTCTGCTCCAGCTGCGTGCTGCTCTAGGGCTCAGTGCTCGGTGCTGCTCTGTGCTAGCAGCCCTGAGAGCAGGGGGCTGTGGCATGGAGGAGAGCCGAATGCCAGGGGTCTGGGGACTGTGGGAACAGTGCACTTGGATGGGAGAGCAGGGAGTGCAATGTGAAGTTTGTTTCTGAGGTATTAGGGAAGTGAGGGTCAAATACTGATTCTCCCCCTCTTCCATTAAATTTCTCAGTCCTGAGAAAACTGAGGAACTGAGGCCCCTGCTTCTGCAGATTTTCTTGGAATATCCTGGCACCCTCAGCTTTTTGTGCAATGAATCGATGCTTAGGGTGCTTCGTGTAACAGAAACTTGGCATTGGTGCTGACCATGTTAATTCTGCAGGAAAGGTCTCTGTGGGCAGACTTAACTCACTGTACCCTTGGTGAGATTTCATCTCTGCAGGAAATCCAGATTTGCCAAGTGCAAACAGAGAATGTTGATTGTCCTTTGAGCCAGTCTGACAAAGGATGGGATTTGCCTTCGCTGCTATTGTGAGCATGGGACACATCTGTTAAGCGTTGGCACACTGACATTGGAACCGGAGGTTGCTGGGCTGCTCCTAGGAGCCAGCATGGGGATGTGCTTACTGTAGAGTGGACAGATTCTTCCTGCAAGGGGTCTGCACCTGGCAGGGGCAGAGGCAAAGGTTTAACCCATCAAGGTGTTTTATCTGGCCAGGAATATGTTGCAAGTCAATAATCTTGCAAAAGAAAAAGCATCCATAAATACTTAATGTTTTTGTACCAGCTTGGGGAGGAATGTGCCTTTGAACCTGTGCAGCTGAAGCTTGTAAAAAAACCTCCTCTGTACTGATGTGCCACTATGGGACATTTATTTGCCAATTTAACAAAACTGAGTAGCATTTTGGAGCAACTGTGCAGAGGATGGTAATTGAAGAGCTTGGGGGAAGGTCTGTACAGGGATGAGACTCTGATCAGACCATACTTAATCACTGTAGTGGAGGACATGTTGTTCAACCTTGACCCTACACTTTAAATGAAGTTCATCCCTGGCCATGTGAAGCGGCACTTGGATGTCATTGGGACATTCTGGCAGAGCATCACATAGTCCACAGCAGGTTTTTTATAATATACCTATTGCAGAAATGGAAAATCCCCTTTGGGAGGATGGAGAAGGCTACTTTGTGCAAGAGAGGAAATACAACAAATGACTGTGGCGGAGGCATCGCAGGGTCTTGGCAGTGAGTGTATCCTGGCAGCTGGAGGTAGGTGGCTTGAGGATCCAGCAGTGTTGTGATGATACCATGTTAGAGATCATTAACAAAAGCAGGAGACAATTCATACAGACCATCCATGAGACACACAGGTTCTTTGCAGGGGGTAATGCATAATTTTTTTAGCTGAGGCTTGATACTCTGAGGAGCAGCTGAGAGATAAAAAGTTTTATTTTGTGACATTTGTTCCCACTACCCCAACACTGTTTTATAGTGTATAGTATATTGAAGACTGTCTTTGTCTCTTAACAGCAAGCACCTCATATTCCACCTGTGGGAAGCTACCACATGTTCACAGAGACACCAATAGACTGAGTCTCTTACAGGGATTCCAGATGTGCTGGAAAACTTGCGATTTATTTGTATTTCAGCAGTACTCACAATCTCCCATGCATGAACTGGACGCGGGAAGGCAGAAGAGCATGTGTGGTTGTGTTCAGTCAGCAAGGGAGCAGAGGCTGCCCCAGGGCTGCGCTCACCAGCCCCACATCTCCAGCACAAGTCCCAGCCCTGTGCTTGCTAACATGACCTCTTTCCAAGCACATCAGTGGTGCCACTGAATCTTGATATTAGCATTTCAGAATTAATTCCTTTATGTTAAGAAAAAAGCCTATTTTAATATATATATATATATATATATAAAAAACTCCTGCAATGAAACCCACTGTGCATAAGCAGGTTGTGAGAAAATATGCCTCCACTTTATAATTTAAACACTGACAAAGCGTGGCCAACAGGGTGTCCTATCTCCTTGCAAAATACCACATGTGGCAGATGACTACCAGCAGGAAGACCTCGTTAGGGGGAGCAGGAGGCCCAGCAGCCATGCTGGTACCAGCTGCCCCACACTTGTCCTCGCTCACCAGCTCGGGTGGTGCCATGCAGTCTGTCTGGTCCCCTGGATGAGGGACACTGAGCACCGTCATGTTGTGGTGGCCCGGGAAGGCACAGTGCAGCCCTTCGAGTGCTCCCCTGTACGTTGCTGTCCACTGCAAAAACCAAAACATCTTGCAGTCGCACTTCCAGGGGTTGTGAGATAAAAACACATACTTCAGTTTTGGCAGTTCTGTGAACAAGTGGATCGGAAGGGAGCTGAGGTTGTTCTTACTCAGGTGGAGGAAATGCAGTTTGTTTAAGTAGGAGAAAGCAGAGTCTGAAATAGAGGATATTTGGTTGTTGTTCAGGTACAAGTTTCTCAAGTTAAGCAGATGTCTGAAGGTGCAGTCAATAGCAGTGATTCTGTTGGCTTCAAGGTGCATAGTCTTGAGCTGGATCAACCCGTTGAAAAGCTGATTAGGCAAATCACCAATGAAATTGTGTCCTAAATTTAACACTCCCAATCTGGGAAGCTTTGTAAAAGCACCATTCTGGATAATCCATATCCGGTTCTTCCTGAGATTCAGATCATACAGGGCTTCCAGGTCCTTCAGGGAATCTCTGCCGATGGCTTCTATGTGATTGCCCTCCAGGGACAGCCTCATAAGGCTGGAGAGATTCCTAAATGCTTGTGGGACATAGCGCATGTTATTGGAGGCTAAGTCAAGTCTTTCTAAAGAGGGCAGGTGTGAAAATAGAAGTGGATGGATTTCAAATATATTGCAATGAGACAAGTCCAGGCTGATGAGGTTTAATAGTCCTCTGAAGGTGTTTGCATGCAGGTAAGTGAGGCGCGAGTTCCTGCTGAGGTGCAGCTCTCGCAGCTTGCTGAGAGCATGGAAGGTCCCTGGGGACAGGAAAGTCAGATTGTTTCCATCCAGCCAGAGGCTGTGGAGGAAAGTCAGGTTCCTGAATGTGTTGGTGGTAAGAATCCGCAAATAATTATTGGAAAGGTTTAGAGAGACTGTGGATGCTGCTATTTCTCCAGGGAGGGATCTCAGTCCAGCTCTGTTACAGTGAATGATCTCTTCGGGTGCACATTTGCACATGCTTGGGCATGAATCAGAGAGATTCAGACTCAGTCCAGTCTTTGCTGCACAAGTAAATATAAATATAACAAGAAAGAACATGACTGGCCACAAATCAGACACCACATCTAATACTTGACAGATAGCGGAGAAGAAGACAAGAAAAAGAGCATGTACCTTTTGAATAGGTGAACCACAAGCATTGCAGGAACAGTGGGGCTGTGCTTTTAGCACACAGTGAAATTAAATTAGCTAGTTCTGGCTGCTGCAGACCAATGGGGATCAAGTCTTAGGCAGATAAAAGCTGATTAAGTGCTGTTGCATTGCAAAGAGCATTACTGAGAGGCAGGAAGATTTCTCTGGCAGGGTTTTGCAGCAGGTAATAGACTTCACTTGGGATCTGCCTGGGAGGCCCTCCTGCTCCTGGATTGATCATGATTCTCAGGACT